TGCTATTTATAAGAATATTTAAGTTTGGTTTTTAGCCTGTTCCGGACTATAGAATTATTAGTACAAAATTCTATTTGTCCATACGCTATCATTTTATTTACACGACTGTCCACATAGTTATAACACATACTATAATTTCAGGAAATGGGTTAAACCTAGCGTGTTTGTGTTGCTTAGTACGTAATTTGTATTCCATTTTTCACAGACATCACCGTATAGCCAGTAATATTGATTTTAATATTAATTACATGTACACAAAATCCTTTCATGTAGACGTTCCCCTGCTATATATGAAGGACGAGTTTATGCTTATGTACGCTACACTCGTCCCCCATATGCAATATGTGGGAGTAGAAGACCAATATACTGGTCTTCTATACTCTAATGACTTTAACGTCTCTCTATCAATAAAATAATCGGACATCTTTACTACTCTTAACCACTTTCTTTATGCTTGCTAATGCAGCATAAAGTTCAGATTGCGTTGAAGACACATTGTCAGTTCAGCAGTGTTCAGTAACAATGTCTACGGTGCCAAGGTTAGTGTGTTCAAAACTCCATGTCATGCTTTTCCGGCTTTAGTTACCTGAACATCATAATAAACGAGGAGATTGTTTAATTTCGGTATTTTTCGAATACAATCATGCATAAGTATCTACATAGCCAAGTGAAACAAAAAATATTCCGAGCACTTTCGCGATTCAACACATTTTCAAGACTGCAGTAGACTAAGATGATTGATTGATAAAGATTAAGCCACCCATGTCAATTATGTTACCCGGTAATCTGTTCCACAAATCATCAACCCTGATTCCAAAGCAGTATCTTTCCCAAATCTAAACTGATCAAATTTACTTCCGGGCTCTAGGAGACTCGAACCGTGGACTCCCACGCGTGTGAGGCCGAAGCACAATTGATCGAGTTTTTATCTTATTTATATACGTTTCGTGTTAATATACTTAATACCTTATTAATATTCACAATCACTAGGGCTGGACGGTAGAGCGACGGTCTCGCCTCATGCAGGTCGGTGTTCAATCCCCATCCGTCCCAGTGGTTGGGCACCTTTCCTTCTTCCCCCGTCCCATCCCAAATTCTAATCCTGATCCCTTACAAGTGCTATATAGTCGTAATGTCCCTTCCTCTCCCTCCCTCCATGTTATGTCGATTCATCCAATTGTATCCTTCTGTCATATTATCCCTAATTCTTCGCCTCTCTGAAGAATTTCTTATTTCCAACGTATATGCATTGATCTATTTTTATTAAATTCACAATCAGACTTCGTAATTTCAGTGCCATCCAGCTGATACTGTATCTTGTAATTCTGTCATTACCTGAACATCATACATTCTCAATCGACTTGAGAATGGTCCAGGACGGACCGAAACGTCGTCGTTCCTTCAATTTCTAGTGTGTGGTCTGGTCAACTGAACATCATACTTTGTAATAAAAAAAGTACTCGTATGTATCCTCTATTTATACTTTAAAATACATTGTTCATTTCTTCCCTCCCTTTGAACTGAATGGGTTAATTAAGTAGAATGGACCATTCAATAGCTTGGTCGATAGATCTTCGGCTTCACAAGCGTGGGGTCCGTGCTTCGAGTCTCCTAGAGCCCAGGTAAATGAAATGAATGAAATTCATTCGCTTCCCCTATCTCTCATTAGTCTAATAGCCGAAGCTACATTTTACCTCCGATACTCTATCCCCAATACTATGCGAGTTCAATTCCACCCTCATTATCTCAATCATAGCATTTTCTTGAGCACCCTAAAATTATTCATATGGCTCCTTTTTGTACCTTCAACTTGTTTTCACCTTGTTTAATCTACTTGTACTAAAACAAGAAATGACAAGTGCAAAATAATCGATGAGAGATCTCACAGCACTTATTTACTTTAATTTACCAGAGGGCCACCATCTTACTGGTGGCTTAGACGTGGACAGGAAGCTGGTTGGTCCCCCAGTATGTTCTGATAATTTTATCAAGTTGGATAAATTGGGGGACCTTTGATAAGCTGGCGGCTTGGTGTCTTCGTCGAGGCCACAAGAGTGTAAGGGGCCTTCATGTAAATTCAGATAAATATGTATATCATGCGTAGCATAGGTACTACCATTCAGTTTCCACGACTGAAGTGTTCACGTGCATGAATGGACATAACAAAAGGGATGTAAATAAGGTATTAAATGTACCAACACGATAGAACACGAAACAATGGATATAAATTGGATAAGTTTAAATTTAGGAAAGACCTGGGTAAATACTAGTTCGGTAACAGGGTTGTCGAATCAATTACCGGATAACGTTATAGACGTAAGATTCCTTGATTGTTATTAAAATTGTTACATGTCTTCCCGCCTGCAGGGCTCTGTGGTGCGGGCTAGGGTGGTGATTGTTCAGGTGGTGCGGGCTAGGGTGGTGATTGTTCAGGTGGTGCGGGCTGGGGTGGTGATTGTTCAGGTGGTGCGGGCTGGGGTGGTGATTGTTCAGGTGGTGCGGGCTGGGGTGGTGATTGTTCAGGTGGTGCGGGCTGGGGTGGTGATTGTTCAGGTGGTGCAGGCTAGGGTGGTGATTGTTCAGGTGGTGCACGTTAGGGTGGTGATTGTTCAGGTGGTGCAGGCTAGGGTGGTGATTGTTCAGGTGGTGCAGGCTAGGGTGGTGATTGTTCAGGTGGTGCGGGCTAGGGTGGTGATTGTTCAGGTGGTGCGGGCTGGGGTGGTGATTGTTCAGGTGGTGCAGGCTAGGGTGGTGATTGTTCAGGTGGTGCGGGCTGGGGTGGTGATTGTTCAGGTGGTGCGGGCTGGGGTGGTGATTGTTCAGGTGGTGCAGGCTAGGGTGGTGATTGTTCAGGTGGTGCGGGCTGGGGTGGTGATTGTTCAGGTGGTGCGGGTTAGGGTGGTGATTGTTCAGGTGGTGCACGTTAGGGTGGTGATTGTTCAGGTGGTGCACGTTAGGGTGGTGATTAATATGATCATATCCTTATTTCGCGAACAGCGTTCAGGGATCGATGCTTATGGTACTATATGCAGCGTTCACAGACGCCTTACATATTAGAAGCAACTGCGCATTAGCGCACGACCGTGCAGCTGGCAGCATGACAGGTGACGTCACTGACGGCTGTACCTTAGTGGTTTTCAGTTGATTTCGAGACCAACTGAAGTGTTTTGTTATAGCGTTACTGTTTCAGGGTTGATAGCAATAGGCTAATATATATATATACACATTCCTGAACGAACCTGCCTACATGCCCAATAAATTTCTCTTTTTAAGGCAAACTTTCATTCCTTCGCATAATTTCTCATTTCATTCGCTGTCCTGTTTGTCACTAGTCTCCGATGTATTTAATTATTAATACATTTTATGTATATATTATTCGTATAAGGTATCGGTCGTTGTTCATCATGTTAGTACGTGAGGGTACTGGCGTGCCTCTACCATGATGTACACGAGTGGTGGCATGTACTACAGATAAGCAAGCTTATCTCTCAACTTGATTTAGTCCATAGTATCTGTCACGTATCAAAGATGTGGGAATACAGTCATCTTGAATACACGTGAAATTTTAATATAAATAAAAATAGTATAGGAAATACCGGATAGTCTAATAGGATATAGGAAAAACTGAAAAATAGGAAAACAATTTTTTTTGTTAAGTGTGCATACATTATCCTCCAATCTTTGCAATGTTGTGTGTGCTTTGTTTATTTGTTCTTAGTAGTATGCAGGACCTGGCCCTAGCCTTTCCACTTGGTTATCAAGTGCCTTGACTCCCAGCCACTTTATTTCTTGTCATACACTTTAAGAACAAAGGATATAGGAAGCCTCTGATATTTCCCCCCTTTAAATTCATTCCACGTTTTGTACTGGACTTAAACTGAAGAAATGCTTCCACACAGTGGCTTTATGCTCAACCTATTGGGAGGGTAGAAATAGCCTAAGCTACTCTATCCTTTTGAGCTGTATCGTATTGTCTCAATAAACTTACTTGAACTTGACCTCCTGTCTATTTTATTAATTGCTTTCCTGAGGCTTTTCATGTCTGGATCATGTCTTCTTTATCTCTAGTTTCTTCCAGTGTCATTATGTTCAGCTCCCTCCATCTTATCACTATAACCATGTCCCAACAAATATGGGACAACATTCAATCAAATATGGGACTGGTATTGTAGTCAACTTCTAAGCTATTTCAGTCTTAATTTTGTACTTTTTGAGGCAGACCTAACTTTTAGGCTAAGGAGCAATTTATGTGATGACTAATTCTTTTGATTTTATCATATATACACAGTACTGTAATAATTAAAACACTGAAATGGACATTTCATCCTTTTATACAACTTGTCTCGCCTAGCCCATCCCCTAGTCTAGTTCATTTGACATAAGACTATAATGAATATTGCATCACTTTCCAACACCCTGTCAAGCCACTTTATCATACAGTACTCTGACACTTGTATGACAAAAATATGTATGCTCATGACTGTGTATTACATGAAAATGTGTAACTTGAAAATCGAGGAGCAAATCAGAATGAAATTTAGAGGGAATGTTGTGCATGTTGCAAGGATTAAATTGATTAAATTTTATTAGATATTCATACTGATACTATACATGCTGAACTGTATGGATGTTGCTTAAGAAACAACACTGCTAAGATTGAAGGGCATAAGTATGCACTCTTGTCATAACAAAATGATTTTGTGTTTTTCTAAAATATTTTTATTTATACTCCTTCACAAGTATTGAAGATTTCTGTGCATTAGATGTTAACCTAGGATAATTCACTTCATGTTCATTTTGTGTTAACAAAGGATCTATTTCCGTTACCTAAAAGAATACACAGCAGGCTGCTGCTGTGTTGCCTTGCCCTGATGTTCTCTAGACAGTATGTCACATTGACCCATGCATGATAGACTACTCCATCAGCATTGCACATAAAATGTATTTTTACATTTTTCCTCCCTATTTTATCCATACCAAATTTTGTTTGCCATTCACAGCACTATGGAGGAGAGTCAGTTGAAGTCGGTAGAAGAGGAGGAGAAAGAGGAGGGTGAGCTAGAGGAAGGAGAGCTGGAGGAAGATGAGGGTGGTGAGGATGCTTACAAGAACCAGCTCACCCCTGTCTCTCCCCAGCTGGTGCAACAAGAGAAGCAAAGGGAGCAGACCAAGACAAACACTGAGGAGGAACACCATGAAGCAAATCCAATTGCTGCTCTTGCTGCAGATACAGAGGCCAGAGAGGAGGGGAAGAGAGAGAGGAGAGAGGTAAGAGGGAGGAAAGAAGGGATGAGGAAGACATGACAGTAGGAGAGTGTGTGAATGAATGATGGATTGGGTAAAGAACAAATAAGAGTATCATATATAAATATAGATGAACGCTAATGACAAGTTTAAAAGTGGGTAAATTTGTACTGTCCATATTTTGATATTTCACCCAGTTATTTTATGAGGAAGGTAATATAACAGATTAAAGTTTTCAGTCTTGATAACAATAATAAAATTGTAGTACAGTTCTGTTATGCTCATTGTTGCCTCCGGCAGAGTAAGGACGAAAAGAAGAGAAAACATAAGGAGGAAGATGAAGAAAGAGAGAAGAGGAAGAAGAAGAAGAAAAAGAAGAAGCACATAAGTAGTGATGAGGAAGACGAGGACGAGTCACCTCCGATGGTGAAGCCAGTATGTCATCACATTATTAGTTTATGCTTTTATTAACTCTTTGAGTAATGAGAACGTGTTACAAGACTCGTCTTGTGCTCTGTCCTTGCACAGTGCATTATTTCCTAGCATTCGCAAGTTTACATCTCTCTGATTAATAAGCTTTTGATTACAAATCTCATATGAATTGTTGGACAAAACATATTTTCTGTGTGTTGACCTTGCAGGTTCTATCTTTGTCAAGTCTCCTATTTTTATTTGTTCTTTAGATATTTTAAAAATTTCTTTTAGTTTTAAAAAAAAAATAATAAGGCATTCTGTTATTTTTAAAATTTTTGATGTCTGATATCTAGAGAATGTCACTGAGTATCACCTTCAAACTTTTAGGAGTACTGTACTACCAAAAATCAGTAATGCCTATTTTATTCTACTCCTGTCATCTTGTTCCAACACCTTCTGCAGCAGTCTTCCTTGTGACCAACCAAAGGCATCTAAATTGATTCTTGTTCCTTCATCTGTAGTCATCCTCATTGTCTTTGTACTCATGTTGGCACTCATGACAATGGAGGAGCAAGAACGAGAGATAATTTACACACTCAAATTTGCAACAAAACTATCACCAAGCTTATAAATTGACTAAAGTATGCATAATTATATGCTGTACTACATATTGAATTTTAACACAAGATCAGAACATCTAGTTTTAAAAGTATCTTGTTCTAGTGTAAAATCACTTTTCTTGTTATTTTTCATAATAAATGTAATATTTTTGCTTTTTTAAAGCCGTTCCTTCACCGTAAAATGATGGGGCCGCCTGCATTTGACAGCAACATGGGCTTTGATGCTATGCTGCAGCAGGAAATGATCTTGAGAGGGCGTTCCCCACCACCTGGCATGATGACTTTTCCTCCACCCTCTGGACCCTTTGGTGCTCCGCATGGCATGTTTAGGGGACGACCCATGTCAGGTATGTTGGCTTTGAGAGTACTGAGGACAATAAAGAGAGTGGGTTACATATAATAACCATAATTACAAAATGAACTAGGCCTCAGATATGTTATCCTCCCATCTAAATTAAATGTATAACCCACCTTGTTAACCCACTGATCAATTTCTAAATTTTCCCCACTTTTCCGATCACTATTTTGCTATACACATTCCTCTATAGCACACTTGGGTAACTAATACCTCTATAATTCTTTCACACACTACATTCTTTTTTTTATTTGTATACAGTGGTAGAATCATAGCTCTTTTTATGTATTTATATACTCTTCCTGTACAGATTATGACTCGTTTGAATCTGGCTCGGATTCTGAGGCACATGACCGCCATGGACGGAGACAGAGACGCCTTAACAGAAGATTCAGGAGGTCTCGTTCTCGGTCCAGATCCCCTTCTCGCAAAAATGAAGCCATATGCATGTATTACATGCAGGGCAGTTGTCAAAGAGTAAGACTTTATTTACTTTGTATTGTATGACAAAATATTCTTTGAGTCACATGTTAATAAAAGAAGAATATACTGTTGTTGCCAATTACATGTTATCACTTTATTCAATTTTTAAGCTCTTGTCGATTTTTGTATTTTATAATAAGTTTAAAACCTTAAACAGGCCTCTGTAAACTGATACCTTTAGGCTCATTTACCTGATCCATTGCATGAATAACTACAATGAATGTATGCCAGTTAGAGGCATATGTGCTATACAAATGCATTACACTTCACACTAAATTACTATACAGAAGACTCAAGCACTCAATATCCCCCCGCCAATAAAAAATTATAAACCTAAAGAACACCCATTATTGCTCTGCAACTGGCACCATTAAAACAAAACTACACGACAAACTGCTATGCAGAAGTTAGCAAAGACGCAGCCAAGAGTGATTGAGTGCCTGCATGGATGAGAAACAGCCAGTACATACTGTACTGTACATGGCTGTAAAGTACAGTTTGATCCCCCAGAACCTCCTGGCCAAAATATCACTACATACTACATATACATAAATATCACTACATGACTTGCAAGAGAACAGGGTGGATGCAATATGTTATTTGAGGGTTGCTAGCTTCCTTGGCTTTGTTGCAGTGACTGGCTATGCCATCAGGCAGTGGCTGGAATAATTTTGGCCTAGTGGCAATAGTTGCAGTGATAATTGGTGTTCTTAGGGCTTACAATTATTGCTTGGAGGGATTGTTAAGTGTGGGATGTGTCTTTTATTTCAGAGAGTCGGTTGATCAATGGTGGATTGTCTTGTCATAATGGGGTTAAGTCTATAGAACTTGTTAATGATGTTCTGGGTAAACCATATGAGCTCTGGCTACGGGAATGACTGATGGGCCCTAAGTTAGGAAATACAAAGTACAGTATTTGAAAATCAAACATATTTATTTTTGCTTGAAACCTTTTGATATAATTTTATGCATTATCTGTTTGCCATGTGTTCACTCAAATGAAAGATGTGATTGTTCACTTTAAATATCCACAGGGAAAAGGATGTCCATACTCGCATGATGTACAGCCACAACGAAAGATGGAACTCTGCAAATTTTATATGATGAACTGTTGTGCAAAGAAGGATAAATGTCTGTATATGCACAAAGACTTTCCATGTAAACATTATCACACGGGTGTCAAGTGCAAGTCTGCTGATAAATGCAAGTTCAGCCACGATCGTCTTTCTGAAGCGGCTCGCAGTGTTCTCCTTAAGGTTGGTGAAGTGTGCTTCTGTTTATGCTTCACAAGGCATGGGTTCCATGCTGGAGCTGCATACTCAAGTTATGGTCTCATATACAATAGGCAGTGTGTATGGACGTGAAAGCCTCCTTGTTTAGATTCTTAAATTACATTCTTGTGTTTGCTAACTTCCGATATGCTCTGATATTATCCTTTTCACATGGTGTTAGTGTTGAGATTATGTCTACTCCCAAGCCTTTTTCTCTTATTGTTTCTTGCCTTTTCCTTATGGTATAGTTAAATACAGGTCTCCTATCTCTCTTACCCTTATTCATTATTTTGCACTATGTAGTTTGAATTCCAGCAGCCATTTATCTGCCCACTCTTGAAGTTTGTCGAGGTCATCTTGCAGTACCCTACAGTCCTCCTCAGTTCTTACTCTCCTTATTAACTTTGCATCATCTACAATCATCAACGTGTACGAGCTCAGTCCTGCAAGGTCATTTACAAAAATTTAAAAGAGTAGTGGTCATTGGACAACCCTGTGGAACACCACTTTCTGCTCTTCTCCAGGCTGACATATCATCACTGATCTTTTGTTTCCTGTCTGTCAAGTATTCTTGTGCCCTGTCCTTGTGGATTTCTTGTTGTCCCTGCTTGTCTTTCCATCTTATGTATTAGTCTTTTGTGTGGAGCTTTATCAAAGGCTTTTTAGCAATCTAGGAAGATGCAGTATACCCATTCATCCTTATCTTGTGTTATTTTGGTCACCCTGTCATAGAATTTAATCAGGTTTGTTAAGCATGTTTTTCCTTCTTTAAAGCTGTGTTGTGCCAACTAAAACTTTATTTTATCCAAGGTTTTCTTTTAGGAGATCTAAGTAATTTATCTAATTAAGTTTTTTTTTTCCAGCATATAGAACTAGCCCCCAAAGACATACTGGGTGACTTTCCTCGTTTAACTAAAGAAGCTGCTCAACTTGTGGTGGCAATTACTGAGGAACATCGCAAAGGAACTCCAATGGATGTTGAAAATATGGCTGGGGTTATGGAAATAAAAGGCAGAGGTTTTAAATGTGAGTGTAGACAGTATTTTTTCTGCAATTGAACAGTTGTCAAGGAGTGTTTGATGAGCCACTCACTTTTTGTTCTACATATACTGTAGTATTAACCACTGCATTGCACATGGCAAAGTGTGCAGTGCACACTTGATGTGCACTGCAAATTGTTTTTAAATTTAGCAATGTTTTAATTTTTTAATACTTTTTACTCTGTGATTTGATATGAAAATTTTTGAGTTTGGCAATATTTTGAAATTTTTCTATTTGTTTTTTTAAATTTCAGCTAATGTTAATAATTCATTAACAACTGTACTACGAAGTTTAATAATTCAAATCTTATTTCATGTTTCACTGCACATGAAACAGGTGTGCGGTGCAGGGGTTAAATAAAATGTTTGAAGAAAAATATGTTGAACAGTTCATGAAAGTTATTTAAATTATTAAGGAATGTTTTTACAAAATGGTTATAATCAAAGTTTTATAAGTTTGCTATAAATAGTATTAGATTAGTAAGCATTTTTTAATTCAAACTTTTTCTAATTTCTATATTTCGGTACAAATAGATGTTGACAAAGCAATAAAACTTCTGGGGAAGAAGCAAGAAGCACGGATAAAGAACATGCAGAAAAATGAACTGGGTGAACCGTCGGGAGCAGACCGTGTGATGAGCCCCGAACATCGGCAGACATTTAAGGCAACACACCACAAACTAGATGATAGCACACTCAGGTCGCCCTCCAAACAGATGCGAACCCCACCACAAAGTAGGTGCCGTTAATTAAATCCGGTAGATTTATCCAATTTAACTTGGAATTGATAAAACTGACAGGCAAAGATCCGTTATCATCATTTTCAGATAAAATGTTTGTGTTTGTGTGGGCTGCTGTTTAGTGAAAAGTTATTAACATAATGGGAGAAATATTTTACTGTTACAAGTACACTGTATACATGTACAGTATAGTATATGATCTGTGATGAGTTATCACAATAAATTCTTGCATGTTAATATATTTGCCACTTACCATTGTATTGCTATACAGTACTGTATGAATATTTAGCCTGAAATCAAATAACATTATAGAACAATCTACTGCATGTGCTCAAATTTGTCAACTATCATCATTTTAGTATACACATATTTGGCTTGTGGACATTTATTACAGTAGAATAAACCCTTGCATGTTCACTAATTTTCCATTTGAGGTTGCAGTTCATCTAAAAAGGTTCCTCTATTGTGCTTTACTTTATATAGTATTTTATCATTTTTAGGTACATAGAACCAACACAGTGTTACTTATATGTTCAGCTTTAACATTGCAAGGAAATTTTAATTTCACTGAGAATCTTAATCAATATTTTTTAGTGGGCTGAGGTCCGACACCTTCCTTTGAGTTTGAGTCACTGAACATTGAGCCTGAAATTCTCTTTATTGTCTTGTATTATTTTCTCTTGGATAATTGTGAATAATGATGATAATTATCATTAGTTACATATGTCTGCTTAGTTATTCCTGTACAGTACTGTATAACTATATCAAAATATCACAAAAATTAAGTTTTGAGTTAAATAACAAGCACTTCTGATAGTCACTTGGTGCTCCCTAAGGACAAGCATCTTTTGACTCCATGATGTGTCTTAAATTTAGTCAGAAGTTGATAATCAAATCGGCATCTGCACAGCAGGGATCATTTCGAACTGTCCCACCAGCGAAGCCGGTGGCTGAGCGTACAGAACACTGGACACGTGATCCTGTGGTCCCAGGCTCGATCCCAGGCGCTGGCAAGAAACAATGGGCAGAGTTTCTTTCACCCTGATGCCCCTGTTACCTAGCAGTAAATAGGTACCTAGGAGTTAGTCACCTGTCACGGGCTGCTTCCTGGGGGTGGAGGCCTGGTCGAGGACCGGGCCGCAGGGACACTAAGCCCGAAATCATCTCAAGATAACCTTTCAAGATAACCAGGTCATAATGATGCTATGGAGACACTGGAAAATGTACAGACCCGCTTGAATTGACCATCAGGTAGCAGATAATGAAGACCTTGTACCCCTTCCAAACAATAACTGTCAGTTTTTCACCCAGCTGGTTCACTTTATTGCCATGAGATAGTAGCATCCCAGAAACATAAGACATTTTGATTATTTACTTCCAAAATGAACTGAGTCTTCATGCAATTTGCCTAAGTTCAAGAAAGAAGGGACGGAAGGGCTATCCTGGACGTAACAGACTGACTTGATCAGAAATGTTTTTCCTATTAGAGTACTCAAAGCCTGATTTCTGAGCTCCTTCCAGAAGAAGAAATTGCAATATAAAATTATAAAGCATGAAAGTATTGAAATGCTTCCTTTTCAGTGATCTCTTTGTTGCTTCTTGATCCAGGACCAGTGTCCACCTAGGACACAGCACTTATGCCTGCCTAGTCGATATTTAACCCCACTGTGGCAAAGAATATTTTAAATAGTGTTGTTGTCATGTAATTGGGAAGGGAAGAAAATGTAGAATCCTTCTCAATCCATTATCAAGAGAGAGCACTTGCTATGATGCCAATGAATAGAATAAACCTCTCAACACCTGCAAGCATTGGTTGGAAATATAAGGAAAGCCAGTTATCACTCTGTTAACAACTGGCTACTACCCAACCATGACCAGCTCGCAGTCAGGTCACCACTATTGTGTCTGAAGAGCTGGTAGCCTTTACTTAAAGCCCAGGGGCCAGATTCAAGAAGGAGTTACACAGCCACTTACGAACTTGTCCGTCTTTTCTCAATTTTTGGCAGCTTTGTTTACAATTATTATAGAGTTCATGAGGTCCAAAGCACCATGAGACTGTTTATAACAATAACAACAGTTAATTGAAAAGTTTTCATGCTTGTAAACTGTTTAATAAATGCAACCAAAGGTGTCAAAGATTGAGGAAAGATGTACACGTTCGTAAGTACTTGCATAACTGCTTGGTGAATCCGGGTCCAGGACACTAAAGCACACTCAGCAAAACGAAAATTAAAGGAGGAGAAAAGGAGCAACTGATGGGCTGTACTTTAATTGAGCATTTCACTGCTATGAATGCCTAATATATAAGCATGGCATCCTCAGTTGCTCCATGCGCTAACTATCCACACAGACCATCACCTACAAGGAAGATAGACAATTGGAAAACAAAATTAGGGTGGCTTGCTAAAGCAGAAAACCAAAGTCAGACAGGGCCACAGGAAGAAGGCAAGCCCCAAGAAACTCACAAGAAACCCCTTGCAGCTCAGGCTCCTACATTAAAGGTAGACTTGTACACTTACCTGGCATATGAAAGAAAATTAACATGAAATTAGAAGTCAGCCATCACTACCACCAAGAGAACAACCACATGATAAAATTGCAGGAGACAAAACAGCAGACCAAATCCACCACGAAGTAGAAACCCAGTCATCAAAAGCACAATAGGAGCCAAGGAGAAACACCTGTGGTGCTCAGAATATCGGCCCCTAGCAAAGGAAAGACAGGCCCACCTTCAACAAAGCATGGAAGGAATTTCAGCAAGGAGGCAAAACCCACTTCCTGAAGAGGAAGAGGAATCAATATGCCAACAAAGGGAGCCTGAACCTGCTCTCACAATCATGCTCTGAAAGGACACAATCAGAAAATCTTCCAGAGCAGTCCAGCACAACCTTGATATGACCCAGAAATATAATGTTAAAAGTCAGTTTATTTTAAATAAGTAAATTTGAGTCATTGATTGTATTAGTAGTGTTAAAGCAGCAATAAAGTGTGAGTAACCAGTACAACTACTGATGAAGTTGTGGTGCTAATGTGAATACTTTACTGGAGTATAATGGTGGTAGTTTTTGATGGTGATGTGTAAAATGTAAGATATGGTGATTGAACAGGTGCAATTTCTTTGAAATCTCTGGTTTTCTTTTCTTCTGATGCTCTCTTGTTTTCTGTGAAAGTGAGAAAATGTGGTGGTGATGATAAGTACAAGGACACCAGTATTATAATACAATTTTAAATGTCAGATAATTCAACAGGACCATACACCTGGCAGTATGGCTGTAGAGGAATGAAAACACCTCATAAATTCTCCAAAGAATGGGTAAATGGCTCCTGTATTATCAGAAGAGGTGTGTGTTAACATTGGCAAGGGTCAATATGTGTCGGTGTGTGCTAAGTGTTTGTTTACTGCATATTGGAGCAATGTGTGTGCTTTTCACTTGATTTATATGAAGGCATCATCTTTCCCACTGTGTATTCCATAATTAGCCTACTGAATACATATTGTCCTTCCACACAGTTTGTATACTGTAGCTATCGAACTTGAGTATACTGTCTCCTTGCACACATCTTAATTTTCTTAAGAGGATGCACCTTGTGAGTTTTTCCATTATCTAGTAGCCAAATCACTTTGCAGAATTATCATCAAATATTCTGAAATTATTTTCTTGGATTTTGAACACCCGACTGTCTGGAGACTGTCATTAAAACAGTTAAGGTTCCTGCATGCAACATTGCTTTGAATGCATGAAGCAGCGCACAGATGTGTCCATGATTAAAGATATTTATGTATTGTGTATTTTTGTCTGTTGTTCATCATGTATTATGGTTTATGATAAACTGAATTTTATCAATAAATCTGAATTTTATCAATCATGTGCATGATATTGTATCATGCACAGCAGAAAATCTAGTGTTATATTTTCTTCTTGTAGGGAGAATTACAGATTGAAATAGCACTGTACCTTGTATTCTGTGAGCTGGTTTGTTGGATTCAGAAATGTCCTCAAGATTATGCTTATTACTGGAGGTTAAAATTTATACACCTGCAGTGGAAATATAACACTGTTAAAATGTGACATGATTGTTTATCATCACTGTTGGATGAATATCAGGCTCGGAGTATATATGAAACACTTTGCTTAGCAGAACACTCACTTGCTCCCATTAAGGCAAGATCCTACTGACCCCTGGTTACAATGTAGCACAGTCAGGACAGATTATTTACATTTTTGCACTGATGCATCAGGGAGCTATTTAAGACTGTTACTGATGTGTCATGCTGGTGCTAGGGAATGGGATGAAATTGTCAATTTCGGTTATTTCTTGTATTTGTAATGATATCGATACATCGCAAACATTTACAGCTTGGTATCGAGTTACATTAACTGAGAGCAGATAATTTTCTTACTATAGATGTAAAAAATTAGCAAAGATCAAATATTTATTTTTAAGCCTCAAAAAACCAAAGAAAAGTATGGTACTAAAATGGAAGTGCCTGAGTAAAAGGGTTATGGGGAGGGCTCACCTGGAACATTATGTTGAGAGAACAAATTTGTACAGTGATAAATATATTATACATACATACATAATGCTCACCACTGCCATAGGAGAAAATGGTTATCTTGGTGAAAGCTTGCTCTAGGATGCACATTGGTTGCGCCATTGGTGAACCTTGCAGAGGTATTGGACACAGTTACATATGGGCTTATAAAACATCAGACTATTGATGTAAGCACAGAGGATTGCCAAGCTGGAAAGTCAGTAGCTGGAGTCAGTCAAGTAAGAATGTGTTGAGGCTGGAGTATGTAGTTTGTTTTGGTTTGGTGTTGCTACGTAATGGCAGTTTGAGGTAGTAACTAGAGTAGTTCAGTAGTTAGCTAGCGTACTTGTCTGTACCTGTATCGATAATTAGTGCCGGGGTAGGCTCTTGAGTTTTATGTAAGTGTAATCCCTGACTGCACTCTGGGCCAGATTGAGTATTTTCCAGTGGTTTCATACCAGGAGGCATTGGTACAGATGTTTGACCTGCCAAAACTGTGGCCTGTCTTAGCCAGGAGTAAGTAGGCTCTCGTCATAGGGAGCACCTGAATGGAGTATCAGAATACTGGTATATTAGATTCAGGATTACCTTTTCAGCTTATTAGAATTCTATTTGGGCTAATTCGGTAATATAAATTATGAAATTTTGGGGTCCAGCATACCTGGAGAGGATTCTGGGAGTTCCACTCCCCAGCTCGACTTGCGATACCCAGTACATTTTTGTACGTTTGAGTAAATAGTTGCTATAAGTACTGTACTATAATTTTAGGAGGTTCATGAACCGGAGCATCGTGTTATGGATGTGTAGCAAGTATATTATGTCAGTAATATACTTGCTCCATATTCTTATTCTGAACAAGTACATATATTATTGATATACTGTACTGTAATATACTTGCTATAGATGAAGTATTGACTTTGTTGCAGTTCAGATATGCTCATGTAAATACATGTATTGATTATATTTCACTTCAGATACTGTGTATATATATATAAGTAATTATTAACTTCATTATACTAAAAGTATGTGCAAATAATTTATGGCAATTGAATGTACACACATCACACACATTTAATATTTGATATTCTTCGCTTGCAAATCAATGTGTGCTATTGGCTTCCTTCTCTTGTACAACCTAGTTGAATTATTGAGGACCTTTTCCATACACTACAGTCTACTCACTTCTTAGGCTTTTTCATTTCATTTCAATTTTTTTTTAATTACTACTGTATATCAGTTGCCAAATTTATTAATTCATTATACTGTACATTGGTTCCATAATTGAAACAGGTCAATATAAATTGACCTGTTTATTTAGTGTGAGTTACTAGACTCTAATTCCATAATCACATAGAGCATAGAGTGAACACATTACAGTAATTACGTTTTTAAAAGTGAAATGATCCAACAGGATGGCACCCCCAGGGTACTGGCCCACAGGGAATGGGTGTATATCGACAGTTCACCAATGAATGGGTAGATGATTACCATTACATGCAAAAAGGTGTGTTTACATTTGTTCAAAGAGTATAAATATAAGGGGAATTGTGCTAAGTGTCTGTGTGTGTGTTTGTACTGTACTACAAGGTTTGGCAAGTACATGCACCAATTGGTTTGTTTGGTATTTTTTTAAAGTGCTGCATTGTCACCTCCCTTTTCTGCATTTGTATTATATTTTCCATCTTTATACATACATTTGGAAATACAGTAACTGCTTTTCTTCTTCATGCTTATTTCTTGGAGCGGGATCATTGCTTGGCTACTTGCCTCATATCACATCTGAATAAATACATTATTTAAGGAAGACTTTTTACGATAACAAATTTCTCTTCTTATAATGTTATAGGTTGCATAATATAAAAGAAACCTACTAAAATTACTCAAATAGACAATAATTTGTATTTTATTGTAGAGTACATTATAAATATCATTTGCACGGAACTAAACTAGAATCAGAATAAACAAAAATTGTTTTCTTCCGATACTGTTTGAAACGATGATCAAACATGCTCTGTTAAACCTACAGTATATGATTCTGGCAGAATTTGTTGCACACATTTAGGGATTACTGGTATGAAGATAATTTGGCATCAAAGGCTTATGAATTTTTCATGGCTGTTTTTTGTGTATTTTACAAAGTACAGTAATACTTTTAGCTTGCAAAAATATATTTTCTGCACATGTTCTTTTGCCACATGGGATAAAGCATTACTGCTAGGTCATACAAGTTGTTTTAGTATTTTGTAAACCCAGCGATAATGAAAAGGCCAAAGGACGTCACTCTTGTGCCTACCAATGGAAACCTCTGATTGTCAAACAATCATAGCACACATTAGCTACACACATCTACCATCAAATAGCAACACCCCATGTGACGCAAAGTCTACACACCCACTCTTACGAGACAATTTACACAGTCCACATTATACCAGTACTAGAGAATGCAGCAATATTGACATTACTAATTCATGTGCAAAAGGATCTTGTTTGTAAAGTGCAAACAAAATGCTCCATAATAGCAAATCCACTCCACCCCCTTATACGGTAGTGAATCTGAGCAAGCTCACACTGCATACTAACAACAGGTATATTAATTACTGGTTGAACCCTATCTTGTTACCAGACAATGCCAGAGCAGCAACCTCATGAGAAAACTGTCTCAGCCTTGAGGAAACTAGCCCAATCTGGAACAAGTATTCAGAAGTATTGTCCCAGAGCCTTAGGAGAGATAATACTTCTGAATAGTATTGTGAATAGCTAGGTTAGAGCATAACACAATACAGTGTTGGTGTTCTACATTAGTCAACACCTAACAGACTGTATGTGAGGTGGTAATGAGTGTATAGACCTTGAGTCTCAAGTAAGTAGTTGTTAGCTGTAGAGCCATAAAATGTGCTGCAACCTAGTGAATAAGTGTCTTTAGGACTCTTTAATGCTTGATCTCGAGAAGATATCTTTATTTTCTGTATTTTGGCTTGATTGATAATATTCTTCAGTTGACTTCCAAGCAACTTGTGACCCTACAGGTATCCCTTAGCCCCCTGTGGTACCAATACTGAATGTCGTTCTGCTTGAAAGTTGTAAGCCTTTTTAAGGTATAATGGACTCTGGGAGCAGTACAATAAGTAACTTGGAAAAGTAATTTATTGTTAAAGTAATCCTATAGCAGGAATATATTGCCACTTTGCTTTGAGTAACTGTGCAATACAGTATGCTGCTTATTGCTGGTATAGGTAAGATATCTAGTTTTTCATTATACAGTATTGTACAACATTTAAATATATACATTGCAGCCTTGAAATAATGGGTGCATCAGAAAGAATTGGCACTAAACAAATCTTGCTACAATGATATATGGTGCCCATTATACTCAGATGTCTTAATGCTGTGGCCCTATTCTGCAAAGGCATACCCATATATCATAGTTCTGAGCTGGATCACTTGGTTGTTCTTTTAGACAATGTGTCTTTCCTGGGCAAAGCTAAATACTGTACAATCAAGCAAGTCAACATTTTGACCAGTCACAGTGAGGATCTTTTGAAACGCCCTTGCCAGGTCACACTCAAGTGAGGAACATAAGCAGGGGCATTTGGTTGTAGTTGGTAATATTGTCTTAATGGGTGGTTAGGTAGTTAAAGGGGAACTTGGCCATCTGTGCTACCAAAGTTGTGGCTAGAGAGGCTTTTGGGTATATCTTAAGCACAGTTGTGTCTTCGTCATTCTTGACTATATTGAATGTTCTCCAATGTCTCCCTGGCATCAGTATGACCTAATGGGAAGTGTCTGAAAAGTTCACTTCCACACCAGTGTGGAATGTGCGTGTGTCTTGACTTTAGCAAAGCCTAACCAAAAGTGAGTAGAATCAGGCTTAAAGAATCAACTGGATATTTTGTTCAGAAAAGTGCTTTTTATATGTAATCAAAGCTAAACTGTCTAGTTTTACCATCATTATACCTTACAGAATAGTACTAAAAATGCATTATTTATACAGTATATTATTTGGTTGCATAAGTATGCAGAAAGACGTGCTCTAATATTTGCAATAAGGGAAAAATATAGAATATTTTACACCAAATTTAAATGGCTAAACCTTTGAAATTATGAAATCTTAAACAAAATTCATAACTAGGGTACAGTCCCTTATGCTGCATTCTGTTGAGATTACACTTGCAATTGCATGTACAGTTTTGTGTTGGCTTCAATTTTGTCTTTTTTGTTTTTTTGTTTTGCTTGCTTTTTTTTCTACCCACCACCACTTAATATTAATTGCAACATTTCATCCATATAAAATTGAATTTGTCCACTTTTTACCATCCTCCTTGTGTACTTTCCTCCATGACTTAACAATGTGATTATTTGTTCTGTCCTATTTCATTGGTTATTTTTAACTCCTTTCTTCTAGCCATTTTCTCATTTCAACATGTTCATATCATAGCTATTTGAATTTTTTCATTTCAGTTGATTGTCATGTCATATCATTTGATTGTCATGTCATCTCAGTTGATTGTCATGTCATCTAAGTTGATTGTCATGTCATCTCAGTTGATTGTCATTTACTCTAGTGACCAATAATTTCATATCATATCCCTTTGCAGTGTTTTGAGTTTGCATACCACCATTGAATAAAAAAATATGCACATCATGAAAACAAGAGAATTGTTATAATATTGTCTGCAAAATATCCACGTTTAATGGTTTAATGATTTTAAAAAAATTAAATTCTTTAATCCACAGATGAAGAGATGGTTAATGGTGAACTGTCCACATCAGGAGGCAGCAGCAACATCAGTAACACCAGTCCAAACAATAGAGGCAATGTTAGCTCTAACACTAATGTTAATTCCGACAATTCTAGTCAGGCTGGGTTAAGTGCAAGTAGAAAGCTCGGAGGTTTCATGACGGCACGAATGCCTCAGAAGCAACGGGAGCTGTTCCAGCGGATTGAACAGCAACACTCTGTCCACCATGACCAAGATGACTCGCTGGTTGATGGAGGGATGGACGAAGCATCAACTAGTGCCAGTAATGTTAACTGGTACTCCAGTGATGAAGATGCAGATAATCCCTCACTTTCCAAAACACAATCACAGGTAATTTTACTCATAATTTCTCACTTTTCATCATAAATCTTGATATGAGAATATTTCTCTTAGACAAGTTAGTTAATGGTTTTGGAATGCAATCCAGCATTGACTACATTCTTCATTAAAGCAACTTCAGAAGGCATATTGGCCCATATGAGGTGCCTTACTTTGCGATAATTCTCAGCCTTATTGTCCCCATGGTCCGGTCCTCGACCAGACCTCCTCGTTAGTGGACTGGTCAACCAGGCTGTTGGATGCGGCTCCTTGCAGCCTGATGTATGAGTCACAGCCTGGTTGATCAGGTATCCTTTGGAGGTGTTTATCAAGTTCTCTCTTGAACACTGTGAGGGGTTGGGCCATTTATGTCCCTTATGTGTAGTGGAAGTGTGTTGAACAGTTTTGGGACTCTGATGTTGACAGAGTTATCTCTGAGTACCTATTGCACCTCTAATTTCAACAGGGGTAGTCTGCACATCTTGCCATGCCTTCTGGTCTCACTTGAAACATTCCATGTCTTATGTTACCTGGTTATTTATTCCATAAATCAACACCCCTGCTTTCAAATCAGTATCTACCCAAATTGTTCCTGAATCTAAACCTACAATTTATATCCATTGTTTCGAGATCTATGCAATCTGAATATTCTGAATTTGTTCTCAGATCTCCTCTCATCCGGCAAGCAATTTATCTCCAAGTAGGACACCACCACTACCTTGTCAAGTTTCTGCTACACCTCCATCAGGTAGGAGTTTCACATCTTCAGGAAGGCAAGGGAATAGTCCTGGCACACCTTCCACAACACCACCACATAAGGGTGCCTTCCCAGCCATCAACTTGGACAGCATCAACATCTCTTCAGATCTGGCAAGTGTTTTGTCAGCTCTAAAGAATCAGAATGCAGCTAGTACTAATAGGTAAGCTTTTTTTTTATAGCTTTTGTTTACTTTATTTGTATAAGTTTTGCTACCTTTTTTTTTTTTTTTTTTTTTTTTTTTTTTTTGGTTCATGCATATTGCCGCAGTACAATGATCTCTCGCCTGGACTTTCACTCTCGATTAGCCTTTTAGCATGTTTGTTCTTCTGCCCCCTAACCCCACAGTGATCATGTGCAGAGTTTTTCTTACTCTCAAAGGAATGCCTGAAACAATGCATGGTAATGTTGCTGCTATGAAAACTAGAGTATTGAGCATAAGTAAATGCTTCTTTCTGAGCCATGCTCCTAGATACTTACACAGCTAGCTACTATGTGGTCCACCCAGGACTCTCAACACCTGCCAGGCTCTCATGACTTTTCTCTCCCATAGTGACATATGTTGAAAAGTGTCGTTATTATCTCCCTTCTCTAAATATGTGACAGTGTGTCAAACTCAACCCACCACTGAAAGTTCTAGTCTCTTGTAATATTTAGGAACTAATTAAACTTCTTAAAAATTCCCCCTACAAGTGAAAACTAGAAATACCACAACCACAATTATTACTCTGCAAATTATAGTTAGTAGTTCAAAGCTACACTGATCAGCACTAGATGTCACCACCATCAACCCAACAGGGGCGGTACTAAAAGATCCTAACAGTATAGTGTTTAAGAAGGAACTCTATAAACAGCACTAAAGAGTACTGTACCTAATCGACTAGGCTGGGATTTAAACATCAAACTGCATGCAATGGTATCTAACCATCTAGTCAGTCAGATCATCAATCAGAATTTCTGATCAAAGACTACGGGGACAATGATCCTGTGAGCCACTTCAAGGTACCTGTAGTGACAACCATAGGAGAAGCACAACTCTAGAGGATCCAAACCATGCTGAACTACTACTCTTTCCTACCGAATCTTGGTGACCTTGTCATAGAACTCGGGCAGTTCTGAGTTATGCCTTTACATGCATATATTTATGACTATTTTCTCCAGTTTTTTGCAAGGTATATAAGTCAGTGACACAGGTTTGTAGTTTTAAGGTCTCATTTTAACTCGGTAACAACTTGCAGACAACTTTGTCAGTGGTTTAATCTGTCTTAATGTGGTCTTATCTTTCCATTATACACTATTCAAACACAATGCAAAATGAGAACTTGTTTAATTGAATATCAGTTATACAAGGCATTTAAAAAAAAAAAAAAATTTGAATGTAATGAAATGCCAGTTTCTGGATGAGTGCCGGAGGCTCCCTGACCAGCTTCAGGGAGCCGACGAGGCTCTCCACACAAAATAATAACTTGGTAAAAATATATTCTAAATGTCAGACAGATTTAAAAAGAAATTTAAATTACAATGTTGCATGTCACATTTATTGACTGCTTATAGCTTATTATTGTACAAACACCATAAGCTGTCTTATGGTTTCATTTGCATTATTCATTAGAATGTACAGTACTTAGCAACAGTGATGTGCAAATTAAGTACTGTACAATATATGTTTAGTTCAAAATAAATGAAATCAGTCAGTTAACAAAGGTATCTGTTTTGCTAAAAATTCACATTTATTGCAGAAGCAGCACAGAGGAATCGGGTCGAAATCCAAGAATGCAGTCTCCTCGCGGAAAAAATCCAAGAGACATGTCTAGAGATACATCTCGGGACATGGCAAAGGATTCAAGAGAAACATCTCGAGACCATAGGGACACACCAATGGATCAGCTGGAGCCACCTGGAGACATGCATAGAAATCCTCGAGATATGTTCCGAGATACAAGAGACATAATGCAGAGTCCTAGATCAGGTGCAGACTATGCCCCTAATCTTTGGCCAAGGGATCAGTTACCTGTGTCTATTATGCGAGATTCCTGGGACCGTCGGAGTGAAATGGACTCGTCCAAAGATGCCAGAGATATACACAGTAGTTTATCAGATACACGAGAGGGTTCGGATATTGATCATGATCAGCAACAAAGGACAGGGGATGTTGACTTAAGAGTGTTACCAGGAGTTGAAAATAGTCGAACTCAAGGATCAAATGTTAAAGGTTTGCGGTATGATACAGACATGAGGATCTCAAGTGAGCACTCAATATATGATGTAGATTTAAGACAAATAAATTTAGCAAATACTTTTAAAAGTAATGAAGAGGAAATGAATTCACTGCCATTTAAAGTACCGGTGCATACCCCAGCCAAAGAAATTGTTGCTTCAATATCATCTCATTCTCCTATGTATTATCAGCTTTTAAAGGTGACTATTCCTAAACCAAATTTTGCCCACCTCAAAATTAATAAGGATGATCCAAGAATCATGGAAGATCCCAGACTTCGAAGAATGCTCAGAAGAAATTCAACAGAGGAGGTTGCTAATCGCAGTCCAAGGACACCTTCTAGATATGACATAGAAAGTCCAATGAGCCCTCCAGGATTTGCAGCTTCCAAGGGTGACTTAAGACTTTCTGACTCTGATTCTAAAGATTCCAGAGACCCAAGAGTGTCAACTTCAAGGGATCCTAGAAGTGAAATTCGCGCAGATCCTCGAGCTGAAAACCGTGTAGAACCTAGAGTAGACCCTCGGATGAATGTGAGAGCAGATCCTCGTGTTGGAAATAGAGGTGACCCAAGAGCTGATTCACGTGATCCAAGAACAGAACAGTTAAGTGATATAAGAAATCAAGATCCTAGAATGAGTGGGATGTTTGGAGGTGGAAATGGTGGAGGTATGATGGAGGGAGGAATGCAGTTTATGAACATGGGTCCTGGGCCCATGGGTCCTACACTTCCTCGTGGTGTGGACCCCAGGGGTAGGCCAGGGCTGCTTGGCCCTGCACCACTGGCATTTTCTCCGGGAGTTCCACGTCCCATGGGGCCAAGGATGCCTCCATTTATGATGGGTCAAATGGGTCCAAATGCTGGTTTTTTCCCTGATGACAGTGGGGAGATGATGGGCGGTGGAAGTTTCCCCCCTGGAGGTTCTGGATGGGGAGGACGTATACCATCAAATGACCCTAGACTACAAAGAGACATGGGGGATGGAAACAGATCATACACTCCACCTCCGGTGTCCTAGTGACTCATTGGTAATGCTTAAATGCAGTTACCTTTATAACTCTGTGATGTTAGCTACTATGGGGTATTACTGATCTTAAACATATGATGCCAATAAGTGTGGGTCTTGATCTTTTGAGTTTGCCTAATAATTAGGCTGTATGATTCTGTACCTCCTATTTCCTGCAGTGCACATGTACCTATGTCACCTGTTATTTGTATTGTTTAATGTAACTTGTGGTGATGAATGTATGATGTACAGTATAGTTACAGTTATAATCCTGTAACCCTTCTGAACCTGTATTTCTGATATTAAATAAGATCAAAATAATTTAAAATCACTTTCTTATTTTAAACAACTTGTCCATAAATTGTATTATTTCTTGTTTATATTAGTATGTAGTTCCTTCTGTGCAGCTATATCTGTTATGTATAGGTAGATATGAATGTGTAATAACATGATAATATTTTAAGTTCTTCACTAGTAAATTAAGAAAGATGCCAGAAATGTTAAGTAATTAATTGTAATAACCAATTCTTACTTTTTTGAGTACAAAGGGATCTAATCCCAAATAGGCTGTTGAGGAGTTGAACTGTAAAGGTTCATGATATTGTTTGAGGCATTTAGAAGGGGACATTTCCATGCATTACATTTGGTATTAAGAGCAATACTCATGGTTTTTGGATAATTTCTCATATTTTAACTGAAGTACTGTACTGTACATTAAACCAAAATATTTTGACACTAGGAAAGCAATATTCTTTATATTAATTAAATACTTTAGCTTCAAAATATAGTATAGAATGCTTGGTTTACTGTTAAATTAGTTTAATATTACCTCATATTGCTCAATACATTTAGGGTAAAAATATACAGATTTAGTTCTACATACATTACTAGATATATACAATATTGTTACAAAAATTATACTTCAAAGATATGTGATAAAGTTTATCAACCTCACAATTATGTAAAAAAAAATTCTCTTAATTTCATAGTCCCTTTTGTGCCAGAATGTAATCTAAAATCACTTGTCAGCAGGAAAATGTAAACGTTTCTTACAGCAGAAAAGCAAGCATTGCTGGCAAGATATTGTTTTTCTGCTGCTGACAAGTACTTTATACTGTACCATAAAAGTAGGCTTTGATATTTGACTTGCCCACTGTTTTAGTAAAAATGGATGGATAATATTATTTTGGTGTTTGATTTCTCTCTTATTAAAGAAAATCACAAGAAATTAACAAAATACAAATGATATACTTATTGCACAATGTATACAAAGCAGACTAATATGGTAATTCTTTATTATCCCTAAAGTGTTGAAATTATATTGTTTGTGGTATGTTTTTGTTAACCAGAGGTGCAGTTATAAGGCTTGAGCTTCATCTTCAGCAGTATTTTAGATAGTATTTGTGCCACTTTGATAACGTATGGTTTGAATGTTTTGCAGAAATTATTAGGAATAAACTGGCATGTGAAATTGAAGCCAAGATTTTACAATGTGAAGTTTGTATATCAATTATGTCTTGTTTGACATTGCTAAAATCCTCTTTAGGATTATATGTAGGTACAGGTACATATGTAGATGGTCAACTATATGTGGTTAAAATAGTCACGGCTCCTTTAAAAAAAAATGTTTTCTACTTAAATCATTTGTCTGTACATTATTGCTAAAAACTTAACTACCATTTTCCAGCCATGAATACAGTACAAAATTAAGTCCAGTATGAGAGCTTCCATAGTGTAAGAATGTATTTCAAGATTCTACATGCAACCATTGGTAGCCCAACTGGTTATTGAAACTTAACACTCCCTCAGTCCTCACGTTACAGAAATTTACTATTGGCAGACATTTAAATGTGTTGTATACTTGCAATGCCCATTCCTTTCACAGATTATTACTTAACCATGTATTTACATGTGGCAAGCAAAATTTTAGCTTTGTCCTTTAGCTTTATTTAGCTCATGAACTTTGAGTAATATCCAAGTTACATGTGACTAATGGGTTAGCATCGCCTTCTGATAATTATTCATTATGTGCAAACCTAAACATAGTTGCACACCCTTCAGCTGGGTCACGAACTGACACTGGTCATACAAAGTGCAAGGTAGAGTCTCCATCAGGAGGATGGAGTCACCTCCAACCTCCTGGTGAAGGACTGTTTGTCCTCACGGAGAATACATGATGAGGCCTCCTTGGAACTCTCAGAACTCGGCGAGTTGGTGGAAGTTTAGGACTCTAGTCCAAGAACACAAGACATGAGTCTCATTGTCTTCATAGTGGAAATATGATCTAACTTAGAATTTCCAGAACTCCATCAGTTGATGGAAGGTAAGGTTTGAGCCAGCACCCATCTTTTGACTAAGAACAAGCCTGACTTTTGACTAAGAGCACCCACCTTCAGGTGAATGACAGCGTCAGCACCAGCCACTTAGTGAAGGATGGTGTCCTGCCATTGTAAAAAAACAACAACACAGGAGACAATCACAACCTTGAACATGAGCAGTTTCTGCGGGTGGTCATCCACTTCCAGGTTTAGAGGTGAGGGTAAACGAGATGTCAGGAAGGCGAGCAAGGTGGTCATGCAGCCTGTCCTAAGGTTTCCCAACTTCAAGAAATCGGTCAAATTAAAATGTCCTCTCCTAACATACCAAAGGACCCAAAACAAAACGGGACAGTACGTCACTTTCACGAGTCACTTCTATTTTCAAGTATGACCATTTTAACCTTAAGTAACGCATACAAGCGAAATGCAATGTTCTTTGTAAGAGGACAGGTTGCACCACGGCATTTCTGGTCTTCGTCAGGCACCTTTTTGATCCAAATATTTCAGAAATTAAACTAGCCACCCGACACTGCTGGCCAAGAAATGCCAGGTCATCCCTGATACTACTGGCCATGGAAAGCCAGGTCCTACAAACACCGCTGGCCAAGGATAGCCAGGTCTCTCAAGCCTGTTTGATCAATCTTGATCGAACATGCTTGAAAACTAGCGTGTCAAGTCTAGCCTGGCTTGATGTCCAAGAACATTCAGAACCCTCCTCCAGGTAAGGTCCACGTAAGAACACTGCATGTAAGGAGAACCAGTTTTCCCTAATGCTGCTGGCCGAAAAGTCAGGTCCCCCAAAGACTCTGCTGGCCGAGGAGAGCCAGATCCCCCAAACTCTGCTGGCCGAGGACAGCAAGGTCCACGTAACTGCTGGCCGAAAAGAGCATGGTGCATCTAACTGCTGGCCGATGAAAGCATGGTCCACCCAACGCTGCTGGCAACGAGAACATGGTACACCAAAGTTCCCAACGCTGCTGGCCGAGGAGAGCTGGGTACAGCCAACGTTGCTGGCCAAGGAGAGCATGGTCCACCCAACGTTGCTGCCCAAGGAGAGCATGGTACACCCAACGTTGCTGGCCAAGGAGAGCATGGTACACCCAACGTTGCTGGCCAAGGAGAGCATGGTCCACCCAACGTTGCTGGCCGAGGAGAGCATGATCCACCCAACGTTGCTGGCCGAGGAGAGCAGGATACACCCAACGCTAAAAGTGGAATGGAAGCTCGAGTGTCTTTGAAGTGTATGATAAGTGTACGTGATGTACGTTTACCCTTGGGGTGACTTCAATAACCAACGCTGTTCTCACCTAATCTTTCCGTCTACCTCTCAAAATAAGTATGAGAACACCTGGCGGGTAAGCATAACGTGGTAATTAACAGCCTTAAGGCTAAACATAGCCGTGTCAACAAACAGTTGAGGCCGCCCGCCACACACCTCAGTTGCTCGACCGACCTCGCCATCTTTGCCAGGATCTTGTCCACACCCACGGGAAACGTAGCTTATCAAACCACGACTCTACAATTCTTCCCGCTGAGCTTTGTTCAGCCTCATTACCCAGGTATTCACTAGACTTAATTATCTTCAGGTCTGTAACATATAAGCATACATAAACTGATTATTCCTAATATATATAGCTGTTAATCGTCATTCAAAAAATGTTCATGTGTATTTCGGTTTGATTTCTGCACGAAGAAAATTTTAATATCATTAAAGATTTAAGAATGATTGGACGATATAAATGGTGATACAAGGTTCAAGGTGGCAACAATTAACTTACTACCATATTACAGTTGGCTTCGTTCTCGACTCACAATCGGGCATCCCAGGTTCGATTCCTCGGTGGGACAGAAATAGTTGGGTGCGTTTTCTTTCACCTAATGCCTTTCTTCACCTAGCAGTAAATAGCTACCCTGGAGTTAGGGGAACTGTTGTGGGGTTGCATCCTGGGGAGGGTCAGTAGTTCAACTTACTGTATATTGTATATATATATATATATATACAATATATAATGTGTTCACTGTGTTCTCTCAACGCCCCTCCCCCTCCCTTCCCCCTCTTCCGATCCTTGGCAGACGAGTGCCAAGTTGCCACATTCAAACACCATTTTTGTTTTTATGACATTTTTTGAAGAGAGTTGGAGGTAGTATCCAGCACGGGTCAAAGTCAACAATTTATTTATAACACAATAGACACAGGATATTATCATACAATTCATTTAGTTACTGCATTGATGAGAGAGTTTCAGAAGCTTTTTTATATATTATAAATATAATTCTTTACAAAAATATAATTTGTTGATGCCCCTGCTTTGCTGGTTCGCATAAGCTTGTACTTAATGTGCCTATTGGATAATATGGAAGTCAGTGGTGATGCACTCCACATCCCCCCAGCGGCCACAGGTTACAGTGAAACATGACAAGTACAATGGGTTCACACACTAAAATCCGCATTCGTTGGCTAAGAAAATTTATGATCAAGTTACGAGGAAGTAGTATAATTAGAGTGCTGAATTAATGTTACAGTGTTCATGAGATAGGAAACTTGCAGCAGTGGGAGCTTCCGGTCTGTGTACCCAGTTCAGTACTTGGAAACTTGTGACACTGAAATGTTCTTTCTAATATCTCTGTGGCTCATTTCGGTACATAGTTTCCAACTATGTTCCCTTGTTTTGTACTATCCATGCTAGGTAGTCGACTGTCCTATTATGCCCTTTCTATTATCATCTTAATTATCACCTTTTTCACCACGAAGAGTATCATTATTTTCAATATCATCGCACCAATTATTAGTCTGTTTTCTTAATCTTTATGTAAATATACAAATTACCTTATATTAGTACATTATATAAATTCACATGAAATGATTGATATCATTCCTTCATTTCTCCTTCCCTCCACTGTTACCTTCCGCTGACTTATTATTATTAGGCTTCACATCAGAGTCCATCTATTCCACCCCTGCCCTTATAGAACCATGGTCATCAACGGAAGCACCTTTGGAGACCATGTTGGCTCCAACGGAAGCATCAGCAGATCCAATGTGACCAACGACTCCATCTGGTACCTCTCGGAGGATCTGTCAAGACTCAGACAAGTCATCGAGGAGGTCATAGAGGTGAGTCTTCCAGCTGGATGTCTTCTATGTGGTTGTGTCGCCCAGCTGGCTGTGACTTTGGTGGGTGAGTCTTCGGTTGGTCAGTTTATTTCGTTGGCGAATATGGTTTAATCATATTCCAATACATATGATACTGCACTATACTTTCACTGAAACGTATTGGAGGAAGAATGTGTAAATCCCTCCTCCAGTGACGCTATTTGTTGGGTTGAAATTAGTGAAAACTCAAAATAACCGAACAATAAGAGGATATCTTTAATCGATTAAATGAAATTTAATCGATTTAATCGATTAAATCTGTGTATGCGTGTGTTTGTGTGTTCACCTATTTATGTGTGCAGGATCGAGTTTTTAGCTCTTGGCCCCCACCTTGGATCGAGATTTAAGCTTGGCCCCCACCTTTCCAGTCGCCGATTGTCTAATGCAAGACCCAGCCTATTTTTTCTATCTACTGGGCCAGCTACTGTCCGTGCGTGCACGCCTATGCACGTGCACCATTGGCGCTTTCCACAAAATCTGAGCATATGGCCACATTTAAGATGTGATGAAAGGTAAAAGATTAAAAGCCAAAGAAATTTCAAATGGCTAATTCTCCCCCCTCCCCATCCCTCCTCTTTAAAACCTAGCAAACGTCCAAGTTGAACATTTCTGAAATGTGTAACGTAACCTACGATACAGGATGACGACTCTGTATTTCATCATTGACACAGAAAATCCAACGAAGTATCTATGTTTTACTAGGCTATACACCTTGTAATTGTCTGTCCTTTAGGACACGTGAAGCTCTAAGAGCGTCTTGTGATAATACACATTATAGGTAAATCTTTTCAAAGAGATTTTCATTTCATTTTCATTTTGTCATTTTATAGTTTATTAACAATCGTGGGTCATCACCAGTGGTCTAAAATCATTGATAACTGGGCATTCGCTGATATAGTGTTGAGAGTGTATCCTAGCTTTTCTTCACATTGTTCACAATTGGCATGCTCACTACTGGGAGATTTATTACCTGTAGCCGCATATGGCACAAGTAACGATATATATAATTGCCAGCGTAATTCTGGCAATTGCGATGTCACATCTCCCTGGTACATTCATGCTATTTCAGTTATCTGCCCAACACCTTAATGCTGCAGGTGTGGTAATCATCATCTGACAGGCTCTGTCGTATCGTTATCTTGTGCTATCTCTAAACCTTGAGCATTCCACGTATTCTCTGTGAGCAAAAACTGACATTATCTTACACACTACATTATTAAGTGTCCAGTCACTGAGTCCTTCAGACTTGCCGGTATGAGGTATTGGAGCTTTGTTCATTCCCGTGTTCTAGAGAATATCCTCATACTACATCTCATACAGTCATACCAGGGCATCACATGCCCCATGTATGACCAATCAGTCCATCCTCCTGTTTTGGTAGTACTTATATGGGACATTTGCGAGATTGGGGGTTCTTAGTATTACATAGCTAGCTCTTGGCACAAGAGAACCTTGTGGAACACCACTGGTGATGGAGAAAGATATACAAGTTGAACTTCTACAGCCAGCAATACCTCTATTAGTCATGAAACGAGCCATTATACACAGATAAAATGTAAAGCCAAAGGTTGGAGAAAATAAATTTGTCATACTCTATAAAAAAAACTTCTTGGAAGTCTCAAAGTTATAAGTTATGGCAAAGTTGCTATTAGAAGTGGCCCGATCAAATCGATACTGGTGACTAAGCTGAACACTACCGTTTCCGGCTCCTCGGTGTTTCCGGCTCCTCTGTCCCATACTGTATTCTTACCATAATACCGACACCAGAAATTCTGGACCGTTTCAGTTTTGTAAATTAATATTTTGTATATATATGCCTCGACAGGGGATGGGTTCCGATGTGCAGTCTTGAGCAATTTAGTTAACTTTCTTCTCAGAATGGCTACAAGAAGACCTCCTCCAGCATTATACGAGAACTGCGAGTCTTGCTGAAGACCGACAACGCCACGGATGTCTCTAATCAGGTCCGTGCGAGAATACTTGTATGGCCAATTACGCTACGAACGTTGTATGGCCACCTACACAACGAATGTTTGAATAGTCAGCTACACAACAAACGATTACATATTTAGCTACACAACAAACGTCTGCATGTTCAGCTGCACAAAGATGTAAAAACTAAACCAATATGTGAATAAACACTGACAAGAAAAGAGAAAAAATTATCCTGTGTTTACCTGGTGTCGATTACTGTTCGTTTCTTGCCAGACCAAGTCCGAAGATTCCCTGGCCGTCCTCTACATAGTGTTCGTCCTTTTCTTCTTCGCCGCCTCCCTCCTCGTCCTCCTCATTAAGTACCTTCGGCGGGAAAGGGAATCATCAAGGCTACAGCAGTTCTACGAGGATTACCTGGACGTTAAAGATCCCCGGTGAGGCCCATAGCCTACTCAACACCGCCCCGCCCCCTCCCACTAATTATATTATGATTATTATTATTATTATTATTAGTAGTAGTAGTAGTAGTATTAGTGGTAGTAGTAGTATTAGAGGTAGAAGTAGTGATGGTGATGTTATATTGTTGTTGCTTCTGTGCATACTTAATATTAGCCATTATAAATATTATGTTTATAAACTTCGTATACAGAATTTACTGTATTCTGACAATTTTTAATTAACGCTGTAGGAAATTTTGCTAGTAATTCAATTTTACGATTGAATTTATCTAATATGATAAATGAAACATTTATATTTCGTGTTTGTAAAGTCTTGACCTGATGTTATGTGTACTAATCTTCTAACCTCGCCCCCGTGTCCACCACACAGTGTAGTGGTCCACTACGACAGCGCCGGACGCAGACTCCATGTCAGAGAGCCTTCAGGAGCCTCAACACGCCTCACAAGCGTCTCCCTCGCAGCCACGCCCACTTCCTCACCCTCCCAAACGCCCATTACCACGCCTTCCCACACGCCCATTACCACGCCTTCCCACACACCCATTACCACACCCTCCCACACACCTCCATCCTCTCCTACAAACTCCGTATTACCTGTTTACCCTATTGTCCACGGCCATGTTACTGAGGATGTGATATAGACACAGTTGTAGGCTAAAATACTTGCTTCAGAGACTCAAGGAAGTTTTGGGACGAGAATTGTTGAAGCTGGATCTAAATATCAACCACTTCTATTTATATTCTTAGATTACATCAACAGTTGTATAGTAAAAGAACAAATCACTTCCAACCACCCTGGACCTTTGATATGGTACATCAAAGAAACTAATCAAACACAAAAATACTCAGCTTGTGTATTTCATTAAGCCATCAATTACTAGGTGTAAATACCTTGTCATAATGTTACATGGTTCTCTTTGAAACCATTGAGATATAGTATATGTATTTATATTTAATATAGGCTTTACAGAGTCGATATTTTTGCAAAGCTTACGGTAAATAAAGATAATATTGAATAGAATCTTAGCCTATCAAAGCCTAAATAGTATCATCATTAGAAAGCTCAGATAAATTTAAAGAATGTAAACTTGAACTACATTAGATACCATTGTCTATCACAAGTAAATGTGTCAAACAAAACTCTTTTAATGAAACAAAATAAGTAGAGTGACAGATGTCAGCTCGAATGCATGGCTACAATTATGTCTAGCAGTTCAGCTTGTATGAGAAACTAGATCACATGTAAAGTTTATGAACACAGGGTCTCACATTTGAACATTACATTTTAGACTTTGTAAGTTTAGCCGTTTAAGTGTATGTAGAATATAAATGTATGAAATGGCACACCACTATTGTTAGTAATGTAATATCTCAAATTCTCGCACTGTTTCCACATCTTAATTGTTTCTTGTAGATAGAGGAAACTATGTAACGAAAACTTAAGGAAATATCATAAATAACTTTCAATATACATGTAAACTATAATACTGGAAGTGTTTCACAATTAATATTCATAATAACAATTTTACGTAGTAATTACATTACAAATAATATCGCTGTTACCATCAGTGCCATTAAAATAATGTATAAGATGTACATGTAAACTGTAACAATGAATATACAAAACACCAACTATATAGGGGTGTGATTAAGACCTTCAGTGCCTGTATACTTCATCTGTGCTACTGTTCAAGAGAAGTACCATAAAAAATAAACAAAAATTTATACAGTTAAGCAAGTCCCAGCTGTGTCTGGGTACAAGTGACAGGATGAACAACCCAGCGGGGTTTTTTTCCTATTGGGGAGTGTTGTACATGCTGCTATGGCAGTGTGTCCACTCACAAGATGAGTGGCGCTGCCCAATAAACTCGATCGCCCCTCGGGGCAAAATTTAAAAATAAACAAATACCTGTTGCACAAGGCTGGGTCTCTGGTTCAGTTCCCGCACAGGACAAACGGCTGTGCACGTGTCCTCTTACCTTATGCCTGTGATGACAAAAAAAAACGCAGTGTTGCCAGATTGTGCTACAAATAGCGAATTGGGCTACTTTTGAGAGCCCCGCGCTCCCAAATTTTTAATTTCGCTACTTGCTACTTTTTGGGCTAATTTAAAAGCAAGATGTGCTAATTTGGGCTATAAATGTTAAAAATGTACGATTGCGAGTTACATGAAAGTAACTAAGCTATAAATAATTGTAATTAATAATAATTGTAAATATTAATTAATACTAAACAATATTATTTAATAAATTAGTCCCAATTCAATGCAGAGTTTTCTTCCAAACACAGAAACTTGTAAATATAAATACAAGATAAAAGATAGATCGATAAATAAATAGACAACTTTCAAATATTGCACCAAGTAATGGCGAGAGGAAAAAACTAGACAGTATACATTACATTTGAAATTAATAATGGATGAATGGTAATAAATTGGTGTTTTCTGATCAGGGGGAGAAAGATACTGGCAGTATGGGGCTTTAAATTTATTGAAGATTAAATTCTGCAGAACATGTAAATATATAAAGTTTCAAATATATAAAGTAAGTGAATATATAAAGTTTATATTAAACACGGTTATATTATAGACATATAAACAAAGTTTATATTATATTAAACTTAATATTGAACATGTAAATATATAAAGTTTCAAATATATAAAGTAAGTAAATATATAAAGTTTATATTAAAATATATAAAGTAGATATATAAAGTAAGAATTAACAGTAACAATTCCAAGTCCTCGGACTAGATTTAACTTAAAAGGTACACCCGTAGTAAGTATGAGACCTTAGCCTATAGTGACATGGAAACTAATTCTGCAGAAACCTAAAGGTTAACTGGTACTAGAATTAAGGCCGAGTGCAAATGTGTAGTAATTATATAACACTAGGATATAACAGGCAGGACACAAAGAATAACTAATAAGTGAGAGACCACATAACACGTAATGTACCCGGCCAAGAGGCCGTAAAAGACCTAATGAATAAGGAGAAGGGGGTGTGACTACAAGTAGGGCTTACTAGCACCTAGACTGGGCAAAGTATTAGCTGCGGACAGCGGGACACTTGGGGACCGGCGCTGCACCCCCCTTCCCACATGCAGTGGGGAGAAAAGGGGACAACTGAGCAAAGCATGACGGGGGTACAAAGACAGCCGCTTGCAAAGGGGGGTGGGTGGGCTTTGCGAGGGCAGCGGCGGGGCAGGCGGAGTGAGGGCAGAGCCCCTCTGTGCCCCCGTATTTATACGGGCCCAGACTGCCCGCGCAACGCCGCGGGACGCGCTGCGCAAATGTTTCTTTCTCCCCCATCAGAAACATCCCCGCTTGCAATCAAGCAGTGGCCATATGTTTGTATGTATACCAGACAAGGTCCATTTAATGGCAGAATTTAGCCATTTTGTGTAAAAACTTTTATATCTCATATTATTAATCGAAAAATATATAGTAATCGAAAAAAGTCATAGTTTGTATATACAAGAGATGAAACAGCGAGCCATGAGCTAGAGCGATGTGCTGAGTCCATAAGGAGGCTGAGCTTCCAGAAATACCTTCCTGTGATTGGCTGTTGCGGGGAATACCAACACTCTTTTATGAATACAATTTATACTAAGAAATAGGTCCTTGAGCACAACAACAAGGTTGTTGTGAAAAAGAACAACAATTTCTGATATGCACCTGACAGAAATCTCCATCTAACTGAATAATTTAATCGAATAAGAGGGCAGAGCAGAGTATCATTATTTGTGTCAAGGCAACCCCCAATAATAACGTCACAAGTTAGGTAGCCAGCCCATGTTTCTGTAACACTCGCTACATCCTGGAGTATTTAATTATCACTTTATTAATACTTTTAAATACTTAACATTTCACTTTTTAGGTAGATTAAAGTTGAAGCAGAATGTCATAAGCAAGGATGGTGTGCTGAATAAAGATGATTTATTAAGTGGATGGAGCCTTTAGCTGATCCCTTCCTGTGATTGGCTGTAGTGTGAATGTCAACAAAGAATATCTACCAATGATGTGCCATTTATTATGCACCCCATACCATCTGTGGGCGGAGCTTGGAACCTCCTACCCGAGCACAACAACCCACCTTATGGGTTGCTGTTTGGCTATTTATAGTGCGTTGGAAAAAACAGAGATGGCATCAGTTGATAGTGTTCTCTTCTGCCGACAGATGGCATCAGCTGTGTTATTATTACTTCCGAATTCCCTTTTAACACTGATCTACAAATCCCTTGGCTTATGATAAGGTTTTATACCATTTATGATAAGTATTAGATAACTGGAGTTCCGCAATTACTTTTATTTATCAACTGTTCAGGATATCATCATATAATGCAGGCGATGAGTCACAATAACGTGGCTATGAAGTATCGACTTGAGAATATCGATCACAATCGACTTGAGAATGGTCCAGGACGGACCGAAACGTCGTCGTCCCTTCAACTTTTAGTGTGTGGTCTGGTCATCATCATATAATGTCTGGTTAGGACGTACTGCTCTCGATTGATGAAGATTAAGCCACCCAAGAGGTGGCACGGGCATGAATAGCCCGTAAATACTGCTCTCGTAATATTGTTCAGAGGGGTGGGGGAACTATCAAGTGAAAGCGCCAAGCCATTACGACTATATAACACTCGGAAGGGATCAGGATAAGGATTTGGGATGGAACGGGGGAAAGGAATGGTGCCCAACCTCTTGGGCGGTTGGGGATTGAACGCGGACCTGTAGGAAAGGAGACCGTCGCTCTACCGTTCAGCCCAAGTGGTTAAGCATAATATTATTAAAACAACAATTTATGCATACAATAACAATATTTCAAACTAAAAATACTTGGATATATTGAAATTTGGTAGTGACTTCCAATCTAGGAATCTCTTATGACTAAACTGTACTTTTTTAATCATTTTTATGTACTTACTACTTATTATTAAATTATTAAGTACTTACTATAATAATTAAATGAATTATTTTATTTAATATTTAAATTAAATGATAAAATAATAGGTAATAATAAATCATTGTGTAGGGGGGACAGGCAGCCAGTGTATATATATACATGTTAGGCTTATACCAAGGTCCCACAAAGGTGCCACAAAGGTGCCAAATTAAAGACTGAGTGCTGCCGGGGCGGGCCCAAGGGCTGCTGGCGGCCCTGGCCAGGCTGAACTTCCGCGCCCTTATAATCACCATTGTTTAATAATCTTCAAAGGGAGAAACACCTGTAAATATAGGAATAGTTTATTACAACATACACGGTAAAGAAAACAGCTCAGAAACTAAGGAAATAAAGCTGCCGAAAAAACATTAAAGTCCACTTCAAGTTCAAGTATGTTTATTGAGCAATAAAAAAATACATCTCAAAGGGATAGAGTAGCTTAGGCTATTTCTATCCCCCCCCCTCCCCTTTACATCAAGTCCCTCAAGGGGCGCACAAATTCAGTGAGTATAAATACACGAATCACAATACAAGAATCCCATTTAACATAGCAGGTTAAAATAGGAAGCACAGCATATAAGTGTTACAAGTGAGTTACAAGTTACAAGGGAACAACTGAGAAGGCGGTAGAGGCCAAAACCGGAATGGCACAGTGATTTTACTGCAGATATGTCGTGATTATCATAATATTAAGATGTTAAGGCACGAAACTAGTAAGTACAAGACCAGAACCTAACGATGCCAACACAGAAGACACTGTTCAACATAACAGGTCAATTACACCTGATTAATCTTTGTATAATAGGAGCTGCCTCGTATCGGCCAATGGGCCTTCTGCAGTTGCCTTTATTCTTATGTTCTTATGTGCTTCGTCCCCCCATTTACCCCTATGCACTTCCACAGATCTCCAGTATCAGCTATTGATACTGGTAATGGCTCAAAAGGGCCACCACTTACGGGCTATTCATGCCCGTGCCACCTTTTGGGTGGTTTAATCTTCATCAATCAATCATCATCAATTTCATTTCACTTGAGAATGAACCATGGAGGTTCGAAACGTTGTGCAAATTGTATAAATAAGTGTAATACATTCTATAGTAATTCACTTTTTTTCTTCACTTTGAAATAACGAAAATGAGTTTTGGAGAACTCCTCTTTCAGCTAAGCCCTGATGCTAGGAAAATAGTTAGAGGGATAGAAGCCCTAAATCAGAAGATAGTAAATACAGAATATGCGGTCATATTCAATGAGTCATGTTTAAAAGAAAACCTGCTGCCAGTATACACCAATATATATAACTGAAAACTCACACCCCAGAAGTGACTCGAACCCATACTGCCAGAAGCAATGCATCTGATGTACAGGATCCTGTACCTCAGACGCATTGCTTCCGGCAGTATGGATTCGAGTCACTTCTTGGGTGGGAATTTTCAGTTGCATATATGCCTGGAGATCGTTCAGGCTTGTTCGCACCAATATATATATATATATATATATATATATATATATATATATATATATATATATATATATATATATATATATATATATATATATAGTTGTGCTTCAGTGCATAGTTGTGCTTCAGATGTTTTTTGTTCAGTTCGTTCATGCTAGGCTTGCAGTTACACAACTGGTCGGGCTCCGGTTAAATAACTGGTCGGGCTCCGGGGGTGTCACTTCGGCTTCAGGTTGTGCATGGTCGGGCTTCCGTTTGTGCATAGTTGTGCTTCAGATGTTTTTTGATGGGTTCGTTCATGCTTGTGGTTACACAACTGGTCGGGCTGCGGTTACACAACTTGTCAGGCTCCGGTTACACAACTGGTCGGGCTCCGGTTAAATAACTGGTCGGGCTCCGGTTAAATAACTGGTTGAGCTCCGGTTAAATAACTGGTCGGGCTCTGGGGGTGTTACTTGGGCTTCAGTTTGTGCATGGTCGGGCTTGGTTCGTGCATAGTTGTGCTTTAAATTTTTTTGTTCGATTCGTTCATGCTAGGCTTGCGGTTACACAACTGGTCGGGTTCCAGTTACACAAATGGTCGGGCTCCGGTTACACAAATGGTCGGGCTACGGGTTGTGCATGGTCGGGCTACGGGTTGTGCATGGTCGGGCTTCGGTTCATACATGGTTATGCTTTAGATGTTTTTTGTTCGGTTTGTTCATGCTTGCGTTTACACAACTGGTCGGGGTCCGGTTAAATAACATGGGTACAGCACAAGAATACCTTCCATCATTGGCAAGTGTATGAAGTAGTTATAATTATACAGTGTACACTATCGTATACAGTATTATATATACTGTATTATACAGTATACTTAGTATACAGAGCTCGAAGTACCTCATACTATTTGGTTTGAAATCCTTGATAACAGGCCAATCACAGCTATAGTGTTGGATAGTGTGTTCTTAACTCGTAAGTTAAAAAAAAAATTTACTTTTATTTCTGCTTACTTTGAAAAGTGTATTTGCTAGAAGTTACATAGCTTCTAAATAGAATTTCGTGCTCAAGAACTTAAGTATATGCATGGTATTTACACATGGGAAAAATAAAATGCGTTTAGATACATTTTATATATATTTATTGTGTTTATCTGAGAGTAACATTTTTTAGAGCGAGAGTTGTTATATTCGTCAGGTGGTGCCATCAGCTGGTCTAGGGGGTTTAAACCACTACTAACATACACCTCAACAACCTATAACAACAACCACAACTACTCCACAAGAAGACATAACTTGGTTAGTCCCATCCATTAAGGGTGCAATAGAGTCTTTTTCTTTGGTTTTACTTGTTATATAGGCTAGTTTCATAGGCATATAACGATTTTGCATCTTTATGATCGGGCAACTTTCTTTCCTAGTTTCTTTTGGCTGATTTCCTGGGTGGTTGAGTTTAGTGCCCTTTTATATTTCATAATATATGATATTCAGGTTGAATTTATATCTTTTTTTCCATTAGTTCCACATAGTTATCAATGCTCGTGTTTCACTACGTGTGTTATCCATCTAGTTCCCTTTTTTTTCTATCTCCTTTTTTGGCATACATTTCGGAACAAGTTCAGTAATGACCTTGAATTGTTCCCATGATGCTTCCTTCCATGGTAACCTATCAGCTCCCTCCAGATGGTGTTTTGCAGTTCCTCTCCCATTCCGTCATAGTTTCCTCAATGGCAATCTAAAAATTCATCATCATAGACTTTTATTGCCCAAAATGCTATGCGTATTAGTGGCTTTAGGTATTGTATGCACTAGCTCTATCTATAAATCCAACATTGTTTCTAACTCATCTATGTACTGTATGTACTTTTCCTGAGTAAAAAATTTAATTTAAATTTGTGGTTCTATATTTGTAATCCATCTTATAAATAATAAATTAATAAATGTTTGTTTTGGGAAAAGTAAATGCATACAAAATTAGTTAAAAGCAGAATGTTGGAATTCTAGATAGAGCTACTATATACTACAGTAGCTCTATTACATGTTATTATTTTCTATTATATACTATGCCTAAAGCCACTAAGACGCACGGTGTTTATAATACCTGTATGGTGATCACACGAAGGGGGTGTGCTTTTCCCCCTGCAGGAATTTGATCAATTATGCCATCTTCTGATGTTGGCACAAGATTTAAAATGTTACTGTACCTTGTGTGGGCTCTACCACATGTAGAAAAAGGCAAAAGGAGTCCTGTATTAGGTAGAGAAATTTTTCTCCTGCTTGTGATGTTAGATTTACCCAATCTATCGTCTCATGGTTAGTTTCCTACTGTAATAAGGGTTTGGGTTTCTGATATTACATTATGCAGCTCAGCAACTTGCTCTGCTGCTGCTATGTCAGCCCTGTAGCTAGATATAGGGCTTGTGCAGGATACATGAGGCTAGATCCGAATACAAAACCTTTCAGACATCAATGATGGTTTTTAAGGGTAACCTGAAGGCCTCCACCTTCCTTCATGCCTCAGGCTAGCATACTCATTTAGTACTCCTGATCTCTGCAACGCTAGATTCTGAGCTCCTCAATGGATTGTCTTGCCTCTAATCAGGGGTGGGGAGATGGTCTTTAATTAAGAAAAACTTTGAGTTTTTTTTGCAAAATTTACCCATTTTCTATACATACTGTATATTCAATGCAAGTTTTAATTTTTTATTATTATTACAGTATTATTATTGTTATGATAGGCTACAGAATTTTGACTAAAGTAGTGCTCTTTTTTTTTCAGACATGGGCAGTCTCATCTCTCTAATTATGGGAAGTCCATCGTTGCCAGTAACTAAGAACTGCCCAGTTATTTACATCACTGGCTTTTCTAAGTTTTGGCATTATTCAGAGAACTCTAGTGAAATGGCTGTGTGTATTTTGAAGGAGTTAAATCTAGAGAAGAAACTTGGATGCAAAATTGTCTTTGATATTTTAAATGTTTCATATGAAGATGCAAGCAGCATTATACCAAAGAAATGGAAAGAGTTAAATCCACAGGTAGGAAATATTTTTTTGTAATTTTGACAAGGTGGTTGTAGAGAAGCCTTAATCAAAATGATTTTCTAATGCTAATTGTGTGGCTTATCATGTGTACTGTATTAACAGGATTTGAAGGGTGTTTTAAAATAACATACTCGTTTGCCACTGCCTACTGTACAGTACAGTATGTAGATGTAAACAGTGAATGCTTTGAAGTGAACAGTGAACACTTACTAGTTAATACTTAATTACATCCTATTTGTGCTCTACCTTGCAGCTGGTAATCCATATTGGGATGAAGTGTAATACAGACAAATTAATCCTGGAGCAGGTAGCACGCAACAGTGGATACGAATATAATGACGTCCATAGGAAAGTACCGAAGGACAAGTTGTGTATTCCAGGTGAGAAAATATTATTTTTAAGATGGAAATTTGGACTGTTTAGTCAAATGACTTGCCACTGATGTAGTTCAAACTTTATTTTTGTGTTACCGAACATTTATGCTGTCTTAAAATGTAAACTATGAACGGAGAGGTTTGTTTGTATGTGTGTGTGCACATGTTGAAGAAAGTAGCAATTGCATTGATTAATTATGAAGTGTGCGCACACACATTTCTACTGAAAGCTTTCACTAAGGTTTTGCTTGTTATTGTTATTCTTAGCAGTGTATTGTATAAATAGTTATGGACCACTTGCTGACATTTTTTTAACTTTTTACCAAGTGGGAAAACTGTGCCATGTAGCTGTGTGCATCTGATCTCTGGATTGTGTTTGCCTCTAAATCAACAGCAACAAACCTTAGTTTACTGTATAGTATCTTAATATACTGTACTGTATACAGATATCTGATCTTTATTGCTGTAATATTGTATGTCTATTGTATGTAGACTTTGGGGTGTATTGGAAATGCATCATAATGGTAAGAGTCTAGCATACACATGCACGAGTAACATCCAATAGTCACTTTGTATTTTTTTATGTCTGCTAATATGCTTATTAATGTTCTGGTGTTTTCAATGAATACACATTTCTAGGTGGTGAGGAGGAGATAAAATCTGGAATCTGTATGGAGACAGTGTCAAAGACCATAAATGAGAATGGCACCATGAAATCTGAGAAGTCCACGAATGCTGGCTGGTAAGTTTTGAGTAACATACCTCTGTAAAATGAAGGTGCAAAATGTTTGAATTTATTTACTTCATGTTGGTAACACTTTTTGTTGTTTTTTACACATTAATTTATGAATTACTGTAGTTAATTTTCATTCCGTTTTAATTTTTCTTCAGTTCACTGTAGCTTTTGCATATAACAGTACCTTAGTTGTACAAGCAGATGAGTTCAGAACCTCTGCAACTGTAGTACAGTTCAATAATAGAGCTCCCACAAAGGAAATTTTAATAAGCACTTAACTTTATTTGGTTCAGAATTTGCATTCTGCAGCTATCTGTATACATAGCCATTTAGTTCAGTATATACAGCAGCACACACCTACTCAATGGAGCTCGTTGGATGACACAGGCATGTTATTTCTAGTAATCACTTTGGAGGTCAAAAGTGAAAGGATTATATGTTCGATTTAATAACAGTGAAACTAATATACTCTACATGTTATAACTTAAATGTAAAGTTATGTGCTGTAGGGTATAAAGATGAAATTGTGTTGCATCACCATTGTATTATGATCACTTCAATTAGCTGGAATAGGTGCCTTGGTCCTTTTAAGAAACTAATGTTAAGTTTACTTAATATTTACATAAATATATTTTATTAGACAACTTTATATGGAAAAATTAATTAAACTTTTTATTGCAGGTTTATCTGCGAATATGTGTATTACTTGTCTCTACATCAGAATAGATTCAGATCAGCTTTTATTCATGTTCCCCCAATTAGAGACAATATATCAGCATCAGACATTGCAGCTGGTCTTGCTGCTGCTATAGAGGCCCTTTATCACCAAGCATTGGATTTAAACAACAAGAAATAGTTGCTCAAATGGTTGTTCAAGGTTGTGCAGTGTTTTATACAAGTAGTGAATGCTCAAAGGTTCTCAAGAAGAAATGCACAAGAAGTTTGAAAAGTTGAAACGAATGTGCTGTTGAGTATGTCCTCGAGGCATTTTAGAGATTTTCAGGCTCCTAAGAATGTGCCGAGATATTATATTTGTTATAATGTTTTAGATACTAATGTATCCATTACATCTGCATTTTTTTGTAATTTACAAGTGAATGATGTATGTAGCTTCTAACCTGCCATAGAGTACAAACGAGTCTCGGGCCTCAGGATGTAAATGATTTTGTACTTTTAATTTTGCCACATTGTTTTGGTTAGAAAACTGTGCAATTTGTTCTATTCTGAGGCAGTTTTGTCCAGTATTGATGTTGGTGCATAATGTTAGAGTTGTTCGTAATATTTACCCGAATTTACCCCGAGGGCCACTAACTCTAGTGGCCTTGACGAGGACAGGAACCAGGTACCTTGTCAAAGGTTCCACCACTTGCCCAGATAATCATTCCCAGTTGGATTGATCTTTTCCAGGTCCATATTTAAATACACGTATCTAATACTGGTACTAGTACAGTAGTCTCTTTTTATTAGATCTTTTTTTGAATTTGCAGTTTTGACATATACTGTGGATCATTAAATGTCCAATTCATTTTGCTGAAAAAACATTCATTGTCTTCTTAAGGAATTGTTTTGTTAGTGTTCATAACTAATAAAACTACTTTATCTGAATCCCAAACCAGCTGCAGTATGTAGTAAGAATGGCAAGAAACCATATACAGTAGCACAGTTAGCACTTTCCAACCAGTTGGGACTGAACTCTGCCAAAAAAAGCCAAGTTTGGTTAACTGGGCATAATCTTCCACATAGTAAATATTGAATTTATCCTTTCAAAATTTTGCACAGGTTTACTAAAATCTGTACTATAAACTAAAGGCTCTGATAGTTAGATTTTGCCCTGCACAATTTCCTCAAATTCAGGCAGATCTATACACCTTCTACATCAACTGACCATCATCCATTGCTATACACACTACTTCATATTGTTTACTTCCCTATGGGAATGCTTGATCTGGATCAATCATTACCATTGGTAACTTTGTTTCATCTCGCATTTGCTCATACAGTATCACTGCCAGAACACAAGCTCTCTTAATTTTAGCCTGGATGACTGGTTCCTCTTCTGTAATTATGTACTGATCTTCCTTTCAACATAATGTGTCGAGATCTTGCTTTCACCTTTCAAAGTACAAAGTGTGGCTTTGCTAGCAATATTTTAGTATAGTCATCAGAGGGATATTGAATTCCACTTCTTTCAGCTTTACTCTGCTCAAAAGGCATCACAACATGTTTCCTTTTAAACTTGCTGCTATTGTAGTTTGTCTTGGCTGACACATTACCTACATTTGTTGTCATGTGGCAGGGTATTTTGTATTGTTGGTTTGAGTCATATTCTCATTGATGGAACTGTACCTAGCTTATTGGAGGCAAGTGCACTTGTGGGAAGCCGAGGAGGATAGTTTGTACTGTAGATGAATAATTGAACTTTTTGAATAATGGGAGCATGGGAAGTGGGATGTCCTCTGATAAAGAATCTGACAGCAGGTTAGAGTAATCCAGCATGTAATAGCTAGCACCATTGATTTATATTTTGGGTATATAACTAATTATGCAATGTTTATAAATAAATTTCTCATTTGAATTTTGTATACCCTCATTATTTTTTACACTTCACTGTAATCTGCAATTGTATCCTTCCATATACAGTATTTGCTTTGTGCATTCAGGTATATAGTACATACAATATGTGCAGGGATTGGGATCAAGAGATAATGAATTTCCCCATTTTACTTATCTCAAATACTGACCTTCAGTATACATTTCCCCATGTATACTGTAGGTCAGTATTTGGGATAATAAAAAATTATAAATACTTTTACTGTCTTAATGGTATTTTTGGTCACTTATGAAAGTGGCGAGGTTCTCAGAATATGAAAATTTGGTAGATGGTTCATTTCATTCACGTAATAAGTTGTCCTCGAAAGAGTCCTCCTTTAAATTTGTAAATTAAATTGTTTGCCAGCATTTATAAACGTGTGTGTGTGCTTGCAGTGTTATTGCTGGAATTGGTTAACATTCCCAAGTCTTTTTCTCCGATTACTGTTACCTTTTCCTTATGGTGTAGATTCCTTCTGATCTCCAACCGTTTTCCAATTGTAGCATAAGGTAAGAATTGTTGATGACAGAAATGTACAGTACTTCCATTTACTTTCCTCTTCTTAGTATCTAGTCAGTGTTTCTTAGACTGTAGCCAGGGCTAAATGTAATAATATTGTGATTGTGACCAAGGTTTGTGACTGCAGAAAGGCATATTTTGCTAGGCTGATATATAAAATAATGTGCTTACAAAATTATTTTCCATTAATTAATTACAAATTGTTACTTGCAAAATTCAGCTCTGACTGGATAACATTAAATCTGTTTTATGTGGTGTACAAATTAGTTTAATAAATATTTACCAAATGGTATCTAATTATTGGCTGAACCAAATTACTGTATTGTATAATGAATATACTTATTTTTTTTTTTAATTTACAGCAGGAGGAGAGGTAGAGAGAAATTACATGTTACAGGTAAAACAGGTTACCTTGAATACTTGTCTGATCTTTCACAGTACAGTATTTGTTTTTCACTAGCTCTAGAATTTTTTATCATTCCTGAACTCTTCTGTAATTTTCATTGTTTCCTAAGATGGAAACAAGATTTTGGCTCATGTCAGTGTCTTTTGGGTGTGTATTATGCATTTTAAATTCTGTAGCCTGTACTGATATTGTTAAAGTAAAAATAAAACAATTCACATTGTGCTTGTTAGAAGCAATGGGTGAAAAATCATGAATAGTGTGATTGTATCGTGCTGTAACCACCATGGCAGCCTCTCATATGTAATTTTTTGTAATTTTTTACCAATTATAGATTTAAGATATTCTGTGACTTCTAAGATCTCTAAACTTCCAAATGTAGCTAATTGGTGTTGTCTGCTGTTTTTTAATCCTAATATCCATGTACCTGCCATCATTGGACAAAAGTTGTGCATTGCATTCCTATGATGTGAATGCTCAACATGTAATGCAAAGTTGGGAATAGGTTTAAAAGTAGCCTTAGTAACAGATTTTTAATGAATAAATACCTAGCTGTTTTCATTTGTTAATTGGTACAATTATTTGTATTCCAAATTGTACCCACCCCCTTAAAATTTCACACGTGCAGTATTGTACATGAAATAGGTTATGGGTATTTATTTTTAATACATATACAAAGTACAATGTAAGAACAGTATATACTGTAGTACCCAAATTTTCTTGATGCTTAATGAGATTTTTATACTATCTTATTTTAATACATATACATAGTCTATATCATGTACTGTACTGTGTATCTATATGTACTTAAGTGGGTCTACATATTTTAATGTATGCTCCAAATGTGGAGTCGGATAATAATTTAATAAAATGACATAGTTTTTATTGCTTGTATTTTTATCCTTGTTGTCCATGTAATCTTTTCAATCGCATGGAGTATGTAAAGTCTTCTGGTGTTCTTCAAATATTTGTTGTATTAAATGCTCATCGACTACTTGGGTCATTTTGTGCATCATATTACAATATTTCCCCAAGTACAATAGACTATGGATAGTGCCTTATGGTTGAGGGGAATCTATAGTTTGCTAATCTAGAGTACAGTATAGTTAATTGTGGCTTATGCAGCTGTTCTTCTGGCCTAAGGCAAGGAACCAAACTAACCTGTATGGAAAAAAAAAACCTTTATGGACTTGGATACAAGTACTATACAGTATAATACATTTTAAGTTAAAAGGCTTTGGAATCTGTATGCAAATGGGCTACTAAGTAAATGCAGTTTGGTCTTCATTGTTCTAGATGTACATTAACTATTTTATCCAGACTGTACTATTGGATATCTACATAGGTGGAAATGTGGACAACATTTTTCAGCTCTATGTTGTCACAGTTATGGCAAATGGTTTTTCATCTGAAATACAACTTGCACTCTAATAAATCTTGTGTTATTTCCCTTTCAATCAAAATTATATATATATATATATATATATATATATAATATATATATAATGTAGTATAGGAAACATTTACTTGTTGAGGTAAAGTCGCTAATGGAGGTATGTATTGTCAAAAGATTCTACTTTGAGTATAGCATGTACTTTAATAAATGTCTTTTTTAAGATCTGAAATATAATCTCCATCACTAAATTGGCGTTCCGTGAGCGCTATGTCATGGGTTCGTATCCTGGCCGGGGAGGATTTACTGGGCGCATTCCTTAACTGTAGCCTCTGTTTAACGCAACAGTAAAATGTGTACTTGGATGAAAAAACGATTCTTCGCGGCAGGGGATCGTATTCCAGGGACCATAGGATTAAGGACTTGCCCGAAACGCTACGCGTACTAGTGGCTGTACAAGAATGTAACAACTCTTGTATATATCTCAAAAAAAAAAAAAAAAAAAAAAAAAAAAAATCTATAAGAGAATGTCTGAGGTTGGACACTAGATGGTTGCAGTTAGCCTCACAGCTTAACATTTGTACTGTTTTTTTTTTTTATATAGAAGAGTTCATACATTATTGTAAAGCCACCAGCACACACAGCTTTCCGGGCAGGCCATTAATCCTAATTTTCCCCGGAATACAACCCGCCAAATAGTTTAACAACCAGGTACCCATTTACTGCTGGGTGAACAGAGGCTACAGTTAAGGTCTGGTGCCCAGTCAATCAAGAGAGAATGTGAGTGTGGGGCAGAGAGGGGGAAGGGGACACCCAGCACTGCCTGGTACTCCTCCTAGTTGTTCTATAACTTAATCCAGACCAATTATTTAAAATATATAATAATAATAATAATAATATAACACACAAGAGGCTACAGTGCACACGTATTATTGGCTTGGCAAAAGTACCAGTTAATCACCAGTGTATGTACTTTCAGAACCAATTGTACCTTCTTGTATGTAAGTAAATACATACATAAAATAAATGCAGGTGTCTGTTAGAGGAGAGTGAAGGTGTTGGTAGTCAGGAATAGTGTTGGTGATGATGGAGAGTGTGAGTGTTGGTGATGGTGAGGGAGAGTGTGAGTGTTGGTGATGGTGAGGGAGAGTGTGAGTGTTGGTGATGGTGAGGGAGTGTGAGTGTGCTTACAGTCAATATTGTCTTATTTAATAAGTGCATATGTGACATACTAATTGATTGTGAATATTTTAGTTTACCTTGAAAAGCTTCATAGAAAACACCGACCTCACCTAACCTTCTTAGTATGTTAAGATAAGCATCTTACTGCTTCTTAATTACAATTATTACTTAACCTATACCGTTTGATAGGTTAAGTAATAATTGTAAATACGTTGGTGAGGGAGGCCAGCCCGGACCGGCTGGGTGAGGCGCCCAGGCAACAGGTACGCCTCACACTCTCCTCACTTCCCTTCTCCTCCACCATTACTCTCATCAAGTGAGGGGCTCAGCTGTGCTCTCTGGGTGAGTAAACACATCTTCACCATTGATGAGTGGAGCATGATGGTGAGGGATGAGTCAGTGTTAGGGTAGTCCATCATAACTACTCCACGCTAACATCAGCGAATACTTTAGATTTTTGTCCTGTTTTAATATAAAAGTTTGCATAGTTCTTCCTGTTATTGAGCCATTTACAAAGGTTCACTGTACGTTAGAACCTTTTTTTACGTCTTAGTCTTGTTAGTTTTATAAACTTCGAAGATACTGTTGATTTATTTGTTAACTAATTATGTATCTAGCTCATCAGTTATGTAACTTGCCTAACTAAACGAAATTTTGTTCAACTCCTGAACTCATTATGTGTCCCAAACCACTACCGCTCACAAGGATGGTAAGGGGTGCATAATAAATTAAAATTAACAATTTTGTGTTGCGTTATACTACGTGATAGCCTATCTAGGACAACCCAGTCCTGAAGAATTTCTAACTAGTCCATTTTATCTACTATACAACAAATACCGAGATTGTATCCACCTATGAAACAAGTGTGGAAAATATGCCATAAATGCCAAGCCATTCAGTTTAAAAGCTACATGGGAAAAATCCCTAGGAACAATTAGGTACCCTAGACAGGCTGCCATCTTCCTGTTCCATCTTGAGGCCACTTTTTTTTATATACAAGAGTTCTTACATTCTTGTACAGCCACCAGCGCACATAGCGTTTCGGGCAAGTCCTTAATTCTATGTTCCCCCTGAATATGACCCCACCAAATTGTTTTAACAACCAGGTACCCATTTTACTGTTGGATGAACAGAGGCTACAGTTAAGGATTAACATCCAGTAAATCCTCCCCGGCCAGGATACGAACCCAGGACAAAGCGCTTGCGAAATACCAAGCGAGTGTCTTACCGCTACACCATGGAGACTGCAGCAACCTGTCCTCAGGGAGGAGATCCACTCAAGGGAGTGGATTGGGGATGATTATGTAATTTGTGCTATTATCTACTCTATCCATGGTTAGGTTAAGATTACTTTAGGTGAATGGGTACCTGTTTGTTAAACTATTTGGAAGGTCGTATTCGGGGGAAAAATTAGGATTAATATAAGTACCTGCCCGAAACGCTATGAGTGCTAGTGGCTTTACAAGAATGTAAAAACTCTTTGTATATACATAAAAATAAATAATAAAATAAACATTATAGAATTGATACACATCACTTTGAACCCATGACAGTTTGCCAACAGGTTTTAAACCCTACCTAACCTAAACCAGCCTAGGATAGCCTACCCTATTGATATACTGTACAGTTTTATCAATTATAAAATGAGATTTATTAAAATGCCTGTGTACAAGTAAATGGTACCTCTTTTTAAAATGTTCATGACCTAACTCAACCAAGCACAACACGACTTAACCCCCCACCCTACCCAACCTAATCCAACCCAACTAAATAAAACAATTCCAGTATACTATACCTGTACATGTTCCTAACAATAAGAAAACAATCTTTATCAGAACACCCACGTTTAATTTGATCATACCCTTTTAAAACGTACATTACCTAACCTAAAGTTTGAATGGTGAAATTATATACAGTACACATCCCCAGTGAGACATTGCACTAAACACAAGATACAATACTGCTATTTTCATTGGTAGACAGAGGATAAAGTAATAGTGCGACATTGATCTAGACCACTTCTTTAAAAGTTCAGATGTAACAAATAAAAGGAACAATGGCTCAATGTAGGACAGAAAATGGGAGGTGCTTTTTTCCCCATAGGGTTATAAACCCATGGAACTGCCTGCCTACCAAAACTGTAAATGCCAAAACATTGCTACAGTTCAAATGCCAGCTGGATAAAATCGGAAAAATGTGGGACTTTTGACAAGCCACCAGCTTCCTGTCTTTATCGAGGTCACTGGAGATGGTGACCCTTGAGTAAATTCAGGCAAATATTAGTGTGAGTAGTAAACCTTTCAATTATGTAGATGATATCTTCCAGAGATGGGCGACGCATCAGAGGAAGTGACAGATTCCCGTCCTGTTGTTTATGTGACTGGCTTTGGACCTTTCCCATCACATGCAGTCAATGCAAGCCAAATGGCGGTTGAAGGTCTTCTCAACTCTAAATTAGAAAAGGAACTTGGAGTGAAGTTAGTTACCGAAACAGTGAAAGTTGAATATGACTACGTTCAAAAGATTGTGCCAGAAAGATGGAGAAGCTTGAAACCAAAGGTAATTTTTTTTTTTCATTTCTATGGAGAACATTAGTTTCTATTCACATTGACATAATGTCACCTTATAATGTTACTGTACCTGATTTATAAGAGTATACCTTTTCATATACAATACATACTTTGTCATTCCTTAATGAAGACATAAAGTATTTACTTCATCATCCATATATTGTTTATACTGGAATAGACTTGTTTGTGCTTGCAATTAATTTACGGTATGTGACAATTTCGTGTACACTTGTTTCAGTTGACTGTTCATGTAGGAGTATCAGGCCAAGCAGAAACATTGACGTTAGAGCAGCTGGCACACAACAATGGCTATAATAGGCGTGACAACTGTGGGTGTATGCCTAATGCAGGCCTTTGCTCTCCAGGTTAGTAGTAACATTTTTTTTTATTTAATTTAAAAATAATGAAGTATAAAGGTTAGGTATCTAATCTTTGGCCATGTTATTTTGACTTAAATATATAATCTGAAAAGTATAAAACATTTTAATTTACTCAGTAATCAAATTTTAGTGGGATATGGTAAAGGGGTGAATGTAATTTAGAGTATTTTTAACATTTTCCTGATCCTTCTATAACTGTGCTCTCACATTGCCTGCAGTCAGATGAAAATGAGAAATGGTGTAGTGATGAAGATATCTGATGCCTTCCTAGTCATGAAAAGCACTTTTTACCCAATGAAACGAAACAGTTAGGCTCCTGGTGTTGATGGTTCTTTTTAGCATGATGGTGCTGAGGTTTCTAAAGGCAGGGTACTTGCCCTCTGCTTGAACATAAAGAGACAGCATGTTACAGAATGTAAGATTTAAGCAAAGTGTATTTCAAGAGGTAAAGTAGTTTGTATATTTTGGATCAGTACTGAGATGAATGGAGAATTAGAAGATATAATTTAGAACATTTTCTAGATTGCTTTCAAAGTTTTTCAAATGTAGAAATGTATTCTGGATATGACGAAAGAACTGTGTGAAAGAACTATATATTCCTTCCAACCCTAATCTTAGGGAGCAAAACATTGTTTTCAAGCAAGACAGGATATAAAATTCAAACAGATAAAATAAATTTAATGCATTTGGTATCAATAGGTGAGAAGGAATATCAGGCAGAGAAGTGTGTTGTACAACAATGAGATCCTTAGAGAGGGTAGAGGGGCAATACTCTAGTAATACTCTTATGTTTTAGATATTTTGAGAGAATGTAGCTGTTCATTATCTGAATTGCTTAGGACTTGACCCCTATTTTTGGATTCACACCATTTAGGGCAAGGCTTCATCAGTTACCTAACTGTTTTGGACATTTATCATCATAATTTTGGTATGGACAAATCCCATATTTTCCATCAGATACAAATACCCAAATAATACACTATATTTCTGCAGTTTACCTGGAGTCTGTTTCAAGAGTTTTTTCTACTCCCTAAGCTTTGCCTTGGGTTAGGTTTGTCTTGTGAAAACTTGATATAAAAGACTGTTGCTTGGAGTTGCCCACAGGCCCACATATTCATTACACAGTTCAGTACTGTACTATAGCAAAATCTGGATAATACAAAATTCATATAGCCACATACTTTTCAATTACAGTATTTATTGCCAACAACGTATCATAAATCTGGGAATATCTCGGTTTTAAATTATACTGTCTTAAATTTTTCCAGATGGTGATCAGGTTATCCACTCTGGAATTCAAATGGACTTGATATCTAGAACAATTAACAAGAATACAAATCTCAACCTGCCATGTGTTAAGTCCACGGATCCTGGCAGGTGAGTCATCAAATAATATTTTACCTAGTGTACTCTATTTTGATTATTAGTGATGTTCATGCAATTATTTTTCATTCATTGTCTTGTGCTTAAAGGATGTTTGTTAGTGTAATTGTTGTAGGCCTCCTGTCATAGCAAATAATGCTTGATGACAAAATGTTATTAATTACAATAATTTTGAATTATCTTCCTTGCTTTTCTTTAATTTCATTGTTAATTATCACTCATTTTATTTAGCGTGAATTTTTAAGTAAATTTGCTTAACTAGATATGTTTGAACCTAGGCAACCCTACTAAGCTATCAAAGCCAATGCCCAGTTGTCCAAGAAAGTGTCAGTGTTGTGGTGTTTAATTTTACTAATGCACTGGAAATGTAGTTGATTGTAAAAATTGTGTCACATTAAGTGTGTGGAAAGTGGGGGTTCTATACACGTAAATTTATGAGGGCTGTCAGTGCTTTATCAATGAACAGCTTTGTTTTCCAGTTCAGAAGCAGTGTGGATTCTGATATTAATTATTACTAGTTTCTGTGTGAGGGTAAAAAAGATCTTTAGTCACAATTATTAAGGCCAAGAAATCAAAGAGCCATAACAGTGGAAACAAAAGTGGATGTAATGAGGCACTCAAAGAAAGTAGAATTATTAGCGCAGATTGCACATATGTACAGAGTAAACCACCCAACAATCAGCACCAGTAAGAAAGACGAGGCTAGAATTTTAGAACATGAGAGAGGCTCAGCATTAAGGAATTCAACCATAATAACCAAACAGAGTACTGTAGTGCTATTTCTGCCATGAAAAAAATTGTGGGTGTTTTTTTTTCCTCTTCATCCTCCACTAATTAAACTTCCAGTGTTAAATTCAGTAAACAAGGGAAAGTCGAGCATTCATGGTAAATAAAACCTATGTTTATTCAACATTATTTATATTTCAAATTACAGTACATACTGTAGTTTAATTATGCCAATTTTTGCACAGTATTTCACAGTATTGCACCTAGGGAAATTGTTTTCCAAGTACTGGCCAGTCAACATAAAACAGAAAATTAGAAATGTTTCATCATAAGTTGGAGACCCCTGTACTGTTGTACCTGTACTTTATAAGGAGGCTACATGCACTCTAGACAATTTCTTTATTTTACTGGATTACAAAATGTAACAAGTTTGCATGACTGTGTGGAATGTTAGAGCAATAAGTGAGGAACAGAAGCTGGTCATATTCCAGGATTAAAATGCAAATTTCTCTCACAACATCCTGTCTGTTTTATTTCTGTAACTATTATACAGTATATCTGTTTGCTTGTGTCTCATTCAAGCAGTCTGTCGTTTCCTTGTGTTAAATCATGATGTTGCTAAAATAAACTGTGTAGGTGGAATCAAGATATTAGTTAAATCATGCATCTATAATGTAATACTGTAATAAAATAAACAACAATTAAGAAGTTTCATTTTTATACAGTATCAGATTTTGAAAAAAATATATCTGCTTTATTACATAAATTTGGAGTACTGTATATCGCTCAAAACATAACATAGACAAAGATTGAATGAATGTTTAGAAGTGCCTATAAATGATCCATGTTTACCCTTGTCATTACAAAACAGAGCACCAGATGTATCTACCAAATCTAAATCATGGAATGATGAAATAAAACGTTGCCCAATGACATGGTAAATAGTAAATAATATATTGCTGAAGACTGCAAAGGAAACCCCAGGGAATTTTACAGTTACTTAAACACAGAGTTCTCACAGTCTATTGGCACAACATTTAAGTTTTACTAATTACTGTATATGACAAAAGCAAAGTAGTTGACATAATATGCAGTACCTAAATTTTCAGAGAGCATTTGATAAGGTTTCTCATTACAAAAATCCTTTCCAAATAAAAAATGCATGGTGTATGTGTGTGTGTGTGTGTATATATATATATATATATATATATATATATATATATATATATATATATATATATATATATATATATATATATATATATATATATATATATATATATATATATATATATATATATATATATATATATATATATATATATATATATATATATATATATATATATATATATATATATATATATATATATATATATATATATATATATATATATATATATATATATATACATATACATACATACATATATACATATATACATATATACATATATACATATATATATACATATACATACATACATACACACACACACACACACACACACACACACACACACACACACACACACACACACACACACACACTATTTTGTGATACTATTTGTATCCTTTGTGATACTATTTTGACCTTACTGTACTATAGTTAGATATTATTACTTTGATGCTTTGCAAAATTCTAGATTAAAATACATAATATTGATGATACTGTAAATTTAGTGTGCATTATAAAGCTTGTAAGGTATAAATAACTCCAATAACTGATATTGTTTTACAACTGCTGTACCATTTTCAGCATTCATCAAATTTTAATTTTTGTCTTTCCATATGTTAGGCTTTCAAATGTTTGCTTCATGCAGTAGTATTTACATTCGCAGGTTCCTTTGTGACTTCATTTACTACTTGTCACTGAAGGAAGACAGGCTTCGCTCAGCTTTCATCCACGTTCCAACTCTTAACAAATTTTCTGCTCAAGACATTTCAGCCGCTGTAGCAGCTGCCATTAAGGAAATGTATAAACAGGTTGTGGAGAGGGATACATTGAAAGGTGAGGAGAATGGTTTATCACCAAAGATGGAATGTGCCGGGACTATGGAGGAGGAGCGAGAGGAACTAGCAGAGACAAAAGTTGCTGTCTGATTACTGTACTTGAACTGCACTGTACATTTTCATGCCTTAAAGCAGGGTTTGCAAACTGTTGATTCTGTTGATACCTTCTCAGACGTATTGAGGCATCATTGACCACAGTTACTGTACGCATGCAGTGCTGAACAAAACATGTAAAAAAACAAGATTTTATTATAACACTTTTGTACTGTATTGTTGCCAAGTAGAACACAATTAAGAATATATTCAGAGTTTCATAAGTTCCTTCAAGGCTAATACAGTATGATACTTTCACCAATAATACATTTCTTTGTTTATATTAAATTCTAATCATTAAGTCATAGTTTTCTGTCTTTATTATATGAAGAATAAAATCTTGTTTTGTCTCCTTTATTTTATACAGTACATGATAAATATGTAAACTTTTTGACACCTAAAATTTTACCAATCTCTTGTCCGTCTCTAGTTATCACCCTGGCACAGTTTTATTGACTCCGAAGGTCAATAAATAACTACTTAGAGAACTACAGGCTTAAGCTAATATAGTTAGCATAAGATTTTATTGGTGCTGTTAAAAATATTTTTGTAGGATCATGTGTGGGGGCCATATCTGTAGCTGTTTTTTTTTTATCTTGGTTTATTGTGATAATTGTGATAAATAATTTTGGAAAATCAGGCTGTTGGAAGCAATCACTACATTCCAACTGCTCCGGGAAACATAAGAGCTTACCAAGGAATGGTTGAGGGTTTATTAAATATTTTGTGATAGCTATTGCCTTGGTTCTTGTTCTTGTTTGTTTTTAAAGATAGAATGAAAGATTGTTTATATTTCTTGTGTAAAGTTTTTATATAATATGTTAAGTTGTTTATGATTATTTCAATTTGTAGATTCACTTCAATGTGAACATTAGCTTTTATATACAGTACTGTATAAATACCGTTGACCCTCCATCTATACAAGTGATGCATTCCAGGAACACCATGTGCAAAGTAGGTATGCACAGAACAAAGTTAACTTTATGTAAGAAAAATAGAGATGCATTCCAGACTCCTCCCAAAGTCACTCGTTTTCTCGTTCTTTATCTCGGTAGCGCAGTAGTATTGCAATTTAGTATTTCATTGATATATGCAGTAATATAAGGCAGATGCTGTTCTGTATTCATCTATTGTTAATTTTTGTAAAGATTATTACTCTACAAATCATAGATTTAAAGTGCTTAGGCTATATTAAAGTGGAAAATATAATTGTCTTGCAAAGAATTAGGCAGAAAGTTCTTCACCATGATTGCTTAAGCTTGTGGTAGCTGTGTGGTTTCTGAAACTATTATTAATATGGTTTTGTCCATAAAGATAAAGGTGCCCGGAGCTTAGCTTGCTGATGAACCTATATACAAGTCCTTCAGTAGTTTTCAGGCAGTACTTTGTGTAAGTCTTTTCTCTAGATTCTCTCCCATAATGAACTTTATATCAATATCTTGTTATAAAATTATGAATGAGAGACTAAAAGGGAAGTAGACATATAGATATGACATGGACAGTTGTGGAAAGGGGCAATCCGACTGTCTTTACTTGGATAAGGAATGGTTGTGAAAGAGAGATACAAAATGGTGAACAGGTAGGAGAGAGGTGGCATGGATTGCCACAGTTTTGGTACACAGTTTGGTCACAGTTTTAGACAGATCAGGTTGCTCCATATTTTATTTTGTAGCCCATAACCTATAATACAAAAGAATAAATTAAGACTGAAACATCCTTTGTAAGCAAAAATTAGAAGTAATAGGATCAGTAATTATTGCTCTGTAAATGACAGTTGGTAGATTAAAGTAACACCAACCACCATCAGATGTCACCATTACACTACTAAAGGGTCATTGGAGTTGGTTGCTCCCTTTTTTTTGGGAGAGTGACATTGAGGATTTTGACCTCAATTCTTATGTTTCTCTCTATGAGATTTTCAAGTGGGTGGCTGACCAAGGCTGACTCAAGTGACCATATCAATTTGGGTGGGTCTTTGTGGTTGGTGTGTGGCTTCACAGCCGCCACTTGCTGGTTGCTGCCCACAAATATCTTCGGCTTGAGTCGGTGGTTGTTCTGGTGAAGCCTGGTTTAGTTACAGACACCTTGAAATTTGCTCTCGTTATGGATGGAACACATAACCAAGGAGACTAACACAGAGTCAAACCCAAAGCCTTTCACCACTTTTATGCCAAGAGAGCTTCTATCTCCTGATGAGTTAGTGTTTCCTTTGATGGGTTACCTTGCTCTCTTCCTTAACCCCCTTTTTTTTCTGTCTCAATATGTGTCCTGCTTGCACAGGATTTGGGGACAACATCACTACCTGCTTTCTTCATCATCACTGACTGAACCACCTAGACAGTGGAGAAGGGTTACCTCTCCACTGTCTGGGTGGTTCAGTGACTGGATTCCTATGGCCTCTCTTCAGTTCATTTTCCATGTCATGGCTCCTACTCTGTTCTGCTTGGATAAATGCCCTGTATTTTTTCTTCATTTTGTTTTTGCAATCCTCGGAGAGTTGGTTAAGTGAACTGAGAAAAAGCATGTTGAGTGAATTTATGCACACTTTTCTGACTGACCTTCCAATGCCCCAGTTGTCATCTTTGTCCTGTCATTACCAAGTATGCTTAGGTGGTCTGAACTTCAAGAGGAGAATAGTTGATCTGACTACCGAGGAGATGGTGAAAATATCAATGGTGGTTTGTGTAACTTTTATCTGCTATCATTGTCTGTTGAGTGACAAGTGGCAATTTTAATACTTAACATTTTTACTTGCAGGGAGTGTTTGAGTATTGTGACTTGCTCTTTTGTATTAAAACGTGCGGGTACTTTTGATTTAGATTTTTCGCTGTCTCTTTCTTCCTTGATACATGACAGGACCACTTGCAAAGATTCATGGCATGATGGGGGGAAACGTTGTGAGAGCCTGTCAGGTGATAAGATTCCTAAGTGAAGGCTTTGGCTGTGGGAGCATTAGAGGGTCTGGCTCACACTGGAGCATTTTACCTTTCACAACACCCTATCTTTACTTTTTAAAATTTGATTTTTGAATTGAGTGTTATAGATTGAAGAATTGACCCTTTTATGCAATGTTTAATTCCTGAAAAAGGACAGTATGTAAATGTACTTAGATAAAATAATGGCACTGAAGCTGGGATACCTTTTGCAACCCAGTTTATCTTTCTCTTGTATGTCATTCACTTGAGATTGGAGGAATGTTGACAGATATATTATTTGGTTTTCGTTAAGAGCCATAGTCACAATCCACCGTAGTAACACAACTTGACAATTTTATATTTTAATTTAAATTTGACTTTGCTATTTATTTTTTTGCTTTCAGAAGTTAGAAAAGTGGATGAGAAATGTTTTCCAGTTTAATATTTTGCAATTTCTGTCATATATTTTTGTTAGATTTTAAATAAACATATGGCCAGTAGTTGGTGTCGCTAAATTAGATTGTTAACATAGCTATCAACCTTGACATAACCCTCACTTCTCCGAACATTTACTAAAGGTATGTTATTTCCATTACCTTCCTTACATCACAATAAACCTTTGTGTATGTATCCTAATTAGTTTGGAATGTACCTAGACTTTAATATATTTACTGAAAGTTATAAGAATATTCCTTTAATTATAATTTATTTTATATAATAACCACTTTTTATGTTACATATTTGGTGCCTGTACAGTACTGTATTTGAGGTGAGTAGTTTTTATTGGATTTTATTGGTACCTGAAGTGCAGGACAGGCACATATCACCTTTCCAGACAATTTAGTATACAGTATGCATGCATGTTATAGCTTCATACATAGTTTACATTGTGCATTACTTAGTGCATTTGTCTTAAACATACAGTTAGTAGTGACAAAAGGTTGAAATAGAATAATGATCAGATAATGGCGTTGTGAGTGGTACATTCATTTGACTAGTCAAAGAGGTATGGCAACCCTAAGTTAACATTATGAATAGTGCACTCCCATCACTAATAAATCATAAATTCTTGTGGCTGGAGTATATTGCACGTTACAGCTTGGGTTACCTATGAGTTTAATGCCTAGTCCAGTGTGGTAAAAGCAGGCTCTATTAAACCTGAACAGGGTCATGCTCAAGTCCCATTTTAAATTTGTTTGGGCTTTGGATACTTTGGTAGATATAAAGTATCTATGATTTAGCCTCATGTTCAGTTTACCCTTTCCAACCATATTGAGAACACTGTAAAAAGGTTTTATAAAGCTGCCTTATGAATTAAACTACTATTTAAGACCATCTTTTATCAAATTTATAGCATTTTATAGAGAATTATTGTATTAATAAATATATTATGATTAAATTTGTGTATTGCTGCCTCAACTCTGTATGTTCTTGTTGTGTATTCTACTGAAATGTTGAGAGGGCTCAAGCGACCAGTGCCAAGATCCAAGCTTAGGAAGTGATCCTCCCCCCACTCTCCCGCCCCTCCTTATACTTAATGCAGTTCTTTGTCAACGGTGCTGGCAGAAGCCGCTCTCACCTCTCATTTAATTCATGTAATGTCGCTGTGGCTATTTTTTTCATTGCAATAAAAAAGGTGGGTTGCGCAGGAGTGTGTGACTGTAAGTGTTGCGTAGCTCTAGCACCTCCTCAAGGCCGCCATCATTATATAGTACCATTGACCATTGACACGATTACTTATTTCACGTGTAACCGATGGGCTTCATTAGCGTTAATCCTCGTTTGCACATAAATCGTATTATTTTTTATATTTGTATAAGCTCGTGTATATTCATTTGAAAGCGAAGAGATTATCAAACTAGTTTCATTAGGCGGGTGTTGCTCTGCCGCGCGTCCAGGAAGAAAGGTGTAGTGAAAGGGAAAGTGGGTGAATAAGATCAAGATGGCGGCGACTCCGCCCTTATTCTTCCCCCCTCTCCCCCCTCCCTCACATCCTGGGGCCACGAGTTGCATAAGTAATTGGATGAGGAATGTGGCCTACGGCAAGTGTCGCCTCTGGGCGATCCAAGTGGTTAGGCTTGATAAAAATAATTGCTGTCGTTTCCCCACCATATCACGATAGACGAATTTATAGCCGGTTTGCGCTCTATAGGATTTCAAAGCTGTTTTTAACCATTTGTAGATACCGCGATGTTTCTTGTTTTGTGTACCTTGCTGGTGTGCAAGTGACAGTTGTAGTGCAGTCTGCCAGGAAAAGCTTCACGGATGGTTGCGTGGCAGAGGACAGTCATGCATCAATGCACTTGGCTTGAACATTACTGTCCAGTTCCTGAACCCATATGTTGGTAACCTTCCCAGCGTCGCCCTCAGCATGGGTATAGACTCCAAAATAAACTTATCTAACGGGCTTCTTGAACACGCTTGGACCGTCTCGTCCTGAGCACAGCTTCCCTCGCCCCTTCCTCTCTCACAGCTTCCCTGGCCCCTTCCTCTCTCACAATTTCTCTCACCCCTTCCTCTCACAGCTTCTCTCCCCGCCCCCCTCTCACCCCTCCAGCAAACAGCTCGTAGCGCCCCCTCACATAATCACCTTAATATCCTCACCCCACAAGATAGTCATACAAGGAGTCGGGAGGTAACATGTGAGCAGACCGAAGGCTTTGTTGAGTCGTTCTTTGTCATGATGCATAATATACAAAATTCTATATAATTTAAAGATAAATAACGTAGATGTTATATTTGCTATACCGTTATTAGGGACAGGAATCCTGAAGACTTACCGAGGTTCACCTGGAAGACTGAACATGGGGGTCAGTCCCTAAACTAATTACTTGTCAAACTCTATGAAGCTTCACCTGACTTCTGAAGTACGCCCATAAAAACTATTGCTTCAAACAATTTCTTTACAAATTCCATCGGTTGCATTTACACGGGTAGTAATGTGATATCAAATATCATTTTAAGGCACGTTTGAACTGTTAAGAGTAATCAATTTTCATATGCAGAAGTAGTACTACACATCAGATACCAATATGGACGAACTCCTATAAGTGTCGATACAAGAAAGTGATTATATGTCAATTCTGAATGAGGTAATGATGAACATTTTATCCTGATATATACTAGTGTTAAACACAAGTGGATTTATAGTGAAGTGAAGATTAATGGTAACATGGGAGTTAAGTACAGTGAGAGATGGGTGGAGGTTGCTTCAGCGGCAATGTAATCGCCCAACTTGTTTACCCACAAAAAAAGAAGATAAAGTGAAATGTATTATCAACAGTTCTATAAACTAATCATATGTAAACTAGTCATATGGTCCAGGACGGACCGAAACGTCGTCGTCCCTTCACCTTCTAGTGTGTGGTCTGATCAACATACTTTAGCCACGTTATTGTGACTCATCGCCTGCATAGTCATATGTAACTAATTATTAATTGCGTTTTGGGGGGCATTTGGTGGCGAAGTTCTCCTCATATACATTTTAGCTAACAGCGTTTCGGTTAATATTTTAAACGCTATTATGGAGTGCTATATTTATCTAAAACACGCAGAGGAGGAGATGAGGTGGAGAAAGGGCAGAAAGCAAGTTCGCGAATAAAGGGGCATTATTCCATGATTCCTACGACCTGAGAACCCCCACACCCCCCTTCCCCAAGAACATTGCACTCCCTTCCTACAATGTCCAATACTCCTTCATATGTTTACCCCCTCCCCCCCCCCCCAGAACACCACTTTTCTCCTCACCAAATATTGACGTAAACCCCATTTGCAGAGGTACGGTTCGTAAAGAGGGCGCCAGCAAAGAACTGTTCGAGAAAAATCGCATAGCGAATTCGTGCAAGCCCCTAATCCTAATTTTCACACACACACACCCAGGAAGCAGCCTGTAGCAGCTGTCTAACTCCCAGGTATTTATTTACTACTAGGTGAACAGGCTCATCACGGTGAAAGAAACTGCCCATTTGTTTCTGCCTTCCGCCGTGGGGCTTGTGAGTTGTGTGTAAAAATTTATAAGAATAAGGGGGTTGGCGACTTCACTAACGATCATTTTGGCCATTGTTTATGAGGATGTTCACTGCCCCACAATTGTGCTTTGCTCTTTTGGTGTTCCCTACTGCCCCCCCAGTGTTCTATGTTCTCCGAAATGTTCTCTGCGTTCAGTGTTATGTGCGCCTCCGATTGTTCGCCACCACTTTAGTAATATTCGATGGCTGAGTTTGCTGTCACAATACATTCTCAGCTGATACATCAAAACTAAATGCTAACTGCCCTTTACCCACAACAACATTTGTTGGACTATCCAGAATTCCAAGGATGCCAGATATTTATTTAATTTGGAATCATTATGTATTGTTAGGTTTTCAGTTGACCGTCCGCGCAGGGGGAAGGTGGCGGCCGCCCTCGGGTGTGGACGGAGGGCCACGCCACGTGTGTTGATCTCCTGACAGGCCACGTGTGGCCCCAAGGCTTAGTGTTTCCTCCTGACAAGGGAACACTTGGTCACACACGGCCCCTGTGGCGCCTAAATCAACATCGTAACAAGTGTTATTGTTTTTGTGTAGACGATTTAATTATTCACGTGGGGAGTGACTGACTGTAACGTGGATACGGTACTACAGAAGGGTACAGGAGTGCCACAGGTGCCGCTGCTGTGCCTGTGTTGACACAGAGGACCCCATTATCGTCGAACAAGTGAACTACTATGCAGTGATCAGCCTTAGGTGAGTGTTTCGGTACTTTGCCCTATTATAAGTCATTCTATATACCATACAGTATTTCTTGTGCTGATTCAGTGAGTTCAAATACCTTAAGAACTGGTACAAATGTTAAATGGGGAAATAAAGGCCCTTCCTCTATCTTGGTTTCCCATTCCCATTGCTCTCTGTGCATACATGTGCCAATACACATGCATGCACAGAGAGCCTGCTAGGCTTCTCAAGGCTCCACCAGGCCAGTTATAATGACCTTTCCCGCGGTACAACACACAATATTTACCTAACTCCTGGATACCTATTTTATAAACTTGGTGAACAGAGGCAGCAGGTGAAAATAAGTGTGCCCAAACGCCTCTGTCCTGGCCAAGAATTGCTTTAGAGAATTTTCGGCTGTAACCTGACTGGTCTAAGCTAAAAATCACAGCACAGGTAAAGATAATTAACCACTATCACTCTCAGGTCTCTTTATTTATGTACTTTAATTAAAGGCTCTGTATATTCACCCAGTAGGCTGCCTTTCATTTTTGTTTCCAGTATGTATTTCTTTACATTTTCAGCAATAAAGTTAGACTGGTCAATGTACTATGGTGTTAAAGTCAGCACGCAATTTCTATGGCTGTGTTGTTGTCGTAGCTTGTATATATATATATTGTAGTGACCTCTGTGGCTGTGGCTTTCAATTTCAATTTCTGTGGCTGTCAGTTTGTTACGGCTAACCAACCTAGCGTGTTTCCTGTACATCTACACGATGTTTGTGTCCCGTTAACCAATCAACTTAATACATGAAGTCTACACCCTGCCAGTTTGTTTCTGATAGTAGTCTTCAATTAGGAACTTTTATCAAATGCTTTCTGAAAATCCAGATAAACAATGTCTACCGCTTTGCTTTCGTCGAATAAATTCAAAATGGTAGAAATGAAATCCAGGAGATTGATGAAATATGAATAATGGGTTTGAATACTACGTTGGCCATAAGTTCCGCCTAGTGATCATCAAGTTTCATTCAGTATAACGTGGAATAAATGTACTAATACTAGTTAGGAGAAAATATCAGATTAAAAAAATACGCGGGATAAGTGGTTTTAAATTCATAAACAGTGGGGTTAGGTGGTTGGGTTAACGAGCATTTGGTCCTTGTTTATGAGGAGGGGCTGAACTACTACACCTATGTAGTGTAGATACAAATAATTGCCAACGGAACCATAACCCCGAACCTAACCTATCCTGGGCCATACACAAAACTATAATATACAATATTGATTACTATTTTAAAAAATAAAGTTTGATTATACATAATTATTGGGGGTATATGGCCTGAAGTCTGATAAAAAATATGCATCCCCATTACGTCATCAATACTTTTTTTAAACTCGTCTATTCTAACCTAACCTAACCAAGCCTATCCCAAACTAACCTGACACAAACGAGGAATATTTTATGTGGTGTGCACTAGGCGTGTGACAATACACATGCATGTACAGGTTTTGGACCCCACAGGTTTGGGAAGGGTGTCAGGGTAGGCAAGGATAGGAGTGTGTGCAGTGATCACAGAACAACAGGTCTCAATGCCTGAGGCAAGTTTGCATAGTACAGTATATTGACTATTGAAGGCAAATTAAAAGCTTAATCTGCATGAGAATTAATATATTACCGAGTTCTTTTCAAATATTGTAACTACTAT